TGACAGACAGAGATCACAAGTAGGTAGAGAGGCAGGCGGAGAGAGAGGAGGAAGCAGGCTCCCCGCCAAGCAGAGAGCCCGATGCGGGGCTCGATCCCAGGATCCTGGGACCATGACCCGAGCTGAAGGCAGAGGCTTCAACCCACCGAGCCACCCAGGCGCCCCAAAAAATCTTTTGATATGTAAGTAATTCTTTCTACATAATGAAAAGAGGCAGAATGGTGAGTGGGGGATTAGATTAAAATAGCATATAGCACAATAACACATTAAGGAGCCTGGGCTCTATGTTTAGGCGCACCTGTAAGTGAAGACTCAAGATGCAAAAGAATTTATTAGAATTAGCAATATGAGCGATGAAGTCAAGAAATGTTTTAAGCAAAAACAGTGAAATACGAATTTGGGGCAAGAAATAGCGGACAATATTTGGAAATTCAACTCTACGACTTTGTGTCTAAGGTACACGAATTTCGGTATTTCCATTTCTGCCGCTTCCCCAAAGACAGACCAGACTGCCTGGAAGAAAAGCGATTTCATTTCCAAAGATGGTCTGGCTTCCTCCCCTTCCCGCTGCTGCGAATCGAAGCCTGGCGGGGTCGGTCCGCCGTAGCGGAGGCGAGGACCTCACCAATGAGGCAGGAAATGGACCAGGATGATTGATGCTCAGAGCGTTAGCCCGGCTTGAGCTCACTCTACTCGGTCCTCACTTACCCAGAGGACCCTTCCCCGCAGCCTTCGCTTTTAGCTCCTCGAGTTTCTTCTGCTCCTCCTTCTGTTTCTGCTTGAATGCCTTATCTTCCTAGGGAGAGGCAGACAGGGTTCACGCCAGGCAAATTTCCCAGTCCCTCCGCACCCGCCCACGCCTCCGCGCTCGCCCTCACCTCATCCATCTCCTTGGCCTGTTTCTTGGGCTGCTTCAGGGGCTTCTTCTTGCCACCTGTGGGCGACACAAGCATGCTCAGTTCAGTCCCCACCGGGCCCTGTCCCTCTCTGCCCTGCCACCCCCCGCACACTCACCTTCGCGGCCGGACATGGCGCCTGCCGCCCCTTCCCCAGACCCTGCCACCGGAAGCGGAGCTCCCCTTCCCACCCCCGGCGCCTATACTTCTACGCGAGCCCTCTGATTGGCTCCTAGTCAGGAAGCTGCCCTCCCGCTGCCGGAAGCAACTCTGGGGGCGGGCATTAAAGGGTCAGAGATCTACTGAGTGGCGGGCGCTCTGTTTGGGTTGCAGTTCCCGCGTTGGGTCGCCAGGTACGAGGTGGGGGTTGGCTTGCCGGGGGAGGGTCCGGAAGCCAGGAGGGGTGCTTAACCGGAAGGTGCTAGGCCTGGGACCGTGCAGGGGGAAAGCATTGGGGGTAGAACGAAGGGCGCGTGCTGAGGCGGTGAAGTTCCGCGCATTCCTGGAACCGAGGAAAGGACGCATGGGTGGAGAGAGATAGGAGGGAGGTGACAGAATTGTGGGCGGGGGCTAGATAACTGGTTGTAAAGTTTTGGAAACCACCGGAAGGAGTTTGGATTTTATAGTAGAGCCGGCTTAGGACTTTTTGCAAATTCTGTTTATTCATTTAGTGCTTTTTTGTTGAGTATGTACTATATGCAGATAGTATTATAGGCACTGAGGATGCAGCAGTGAACAAAACAATGCCTACCCTGGCAGAGCTGATGTTCTGGTGGGTGAGACAGCCCTTAAGCAAAGTAAATAAGTGAAACACATATCGCAGGTCATGTACGTACGTGCATGGAGAAAAATAAAGCAGACAAAGTGGGTAGCGTGCTGGGATGGGAGGGCATGGCAGTGACATTTGAGCAGGACTTAGAAAAGAGAAGGGAGCAAACAGTGCAGATAGCAAGCCACTGATGTGGAGATCCTGCTGTGGGGTTGGCCTAGTGTGTTCCAGCAACACCAAGAAAGTCCATGCGTGGTAATTACCTGAAGGGTGTGCTAGCTAACTTTATTGTGGTACACGTTTAGCAATATATATATATATATCAAGTGTATTGAGTCATCACGTGTGTATCTTAAACTTACACAGTGCTATATATAATTTATATGCAATAAAGCTGGGGGGAGTAAGGTCCATATGATTGGAGGAGAGTGAGAAGATTGAGAGCCAGGAAGTGGATTCCCTGGAGACCATGGAAAGAATTTTGACTTTTACATTAAGAGAGATGAGGAACCATTGGAAAGTTTGAGCAGAGAGAGACATGGTTTGGGTTGTGTGTTTTGCTTTTTTTTAAAAAAGATTTTATTTATTTATTTGACAGACAGAGATCACAAGTAGGCAGAAGGAAGCAGGCTCCCCGCTGAGCAGAAAGCCCGATGCCGATGCCGGGCTCGGTCCCAGGATGCTGAGATCATGACCTGAGCTGAAGGCAGAGGCTTTAACCCACTGAGCCACCCAGGAGCCTGGGTTGTGTTTTGAAAGGACTACTGACTGCTTTGTTCACCATAGACTGTAGGGGCTAGAGTAGAAGCAGGGAGACATTGTTAGTCACTGGGACAAGGTGGTAGCAGTGGCAAGGATAAGAGGAGGGGGGATTTTGTTTTTAGAAAGGAAGTTTGGACTTGAAGTTTCCATCAACCAAGATGGAGAAGGCTGTGGAAAAGGCAAGTTGGAAAGGGAAGTTAAGATCCCCAATCTTCTAAGCAGGGATGTGGATTAAGCAGCTAGGTAAACGAGCCTGGAATCTACAGGAGAGGTCTGGGCTGGAAAAATCAGAGCATAGTTGATAGTTTTTTAAAGTAATGGTTTTGGCAGGGAGGAAGGGTGGGGGCACTTGGCTGGCTCAGTCAGTGGAACGTGTGACTCTTAATCTTGAAGTCATGAGTTTGACCCCCACGTTGGGTATAGAGATTACTTTTTAAAAAAAGTAATAGTTGGGGCACCTGGATGGCTCAGTGGGTTAAACCTCTGCCTTCAGCTCAGGTCATGGTCTCAGTGTCCTGGGATCAAGCCCTGCATCAGGCTCTCTGCTCAGCGGGGAGCCTGCTTCCCCCTCTCTCTCTGCCTGCCTCTCTGCCTACTTGTGATCTCTCTGTCAAATAAATAAATAAAAATCTTTAAAAAAAAGTAATAGTTTTATCGAGATACAACTTACATACCATACAATTCACTTATTTAATGTGTACAGTTCAGTGGTTTTAGTGTATTCACAGTGTTGTTCAACCATCACTATAATTAATTTTATAACATTCTAGTAGATGGCTTTTAAAGCCATGGGACTGGATGAGAGAGGAGTCCGAGGACCCTGCCCTGCAGCACTCTATGTGAAGAGGTTCAGGAGATGAGTGGGGCCGAGTGTGGAAGGTATTTCAAGGAGGAGGAAGGTGGCATGAATCCCAGGCTGCTGATAGGCCAAGTAAGAGGAGGATTGAGAGCTGATCACTGGATTTAGTAATGTGGAAGTGACCTGGACAAGAGCATTTCCAGTGGCATGGTGGTTTCAAGGGCTGCATCAGAGAGGGTTTTCAGAGAGGATGGGAGAGGAGGAACTGGAGAGAGCCAAGTGCTGACAATCCATCAAGGAGTTTGGCTGTACAGAGGGACAGAGAAGTGGGGCTATTCCTGGAGGGATGTCTGATCAATTAGTGAGTAGTGTCAGCTGGGGAGGGTGCACGGGACCTGGGGCACAGCTTGTTCTTCCTAGAGCATGAATTCTTCATCCCGAAGAGCAAGAGAGAAGGTAGAAACTGGACAGATACTGGCAGGTGGGAAGGTATGGTAGGAGTTTAGAGAAGTTGTCTTCCAATTTTTAAGTATTTTCTTAGTGAAAAATGAAGCAAGCCATCAGCTGCACGTGAGGAGGAGGTATGGGTGTGGAGGTTTATAGGATGGGCAGTTGGTAGGAGACGGTCACCTGGGTAGAATTGGAAAATTGATTTGGAGGGGCAAGGTTCTGAACTTGGCCCTCAAGACCCTTATTAATGTGGCCTCTGTTTACCTCTTCAGCCTCTCCTCTGCCCACTCTCCTTTCCTCTGCTGTCTTCCAACTACACCGGCTGCCTTTTAGGTTTTAGATGACCCCAAGTACCTCTCCACTTTGCCCCCTCTGGCAGGGACTCCTTACCTGTGTTGACTGAGGGCCTGTGAGATGTTTGAGTGGGGAGAGGCTGGGTGGGTGAGAGGAGGGACTAGAACAGAGAAAAAACTTGAGTCCTTTCCTCACACAGCAACGTCTCTGCTGTGACCAAGCTTATGTTGTAGCGAGGGGCTTGGCAACATGCGAAGAAGGCAAATATGTGTCTGATGGAGACAGATAAACCTGGTGGCCCAGGAGGGAATGGTCAAGGAAGGCTTTGCCATGAGGTGATATCTGAGCCAAGACCTACAAGTCAGGGTGAGCCGCCTGGAGCTGAGGAGGAAGCAGCAGGGTTGGGTTTCGCGTGTTTGGGTGCCTGTAGTGGAGGTCAGGGGCAGAGAGGAGGAAGGGGATGACGGTCAAGAGGAGTGGGGCTTGTTGCCCACTGGCAGGACTGGTGTTCATGGCAAGTGAGATGGGAGCTGTCGGGGGTGCAGGAGGGTTTGAACCAAGGATATGCAATGATGAATTAACAGAGCCTCAGGTTGTGAGGAATGGCTCTGAGCAGCAGGGAGGAAGCCAGGACAGACAGAAGGACGTAGCTGTCATCGCTGCCAGGGTTGAGTGACCCTCCTGGCTTCCAGGAGTGTGTGGCTGGTAGAGGAGGAGCTGAGAAAGGAGGCTGAGAAGGTTGGAGGAAGCTGAGAGGGGTAGTGACTTCAAAAAGACAGGGTGTTGAAAGCTGCAGAGATTTGGGGAAGAAATCTGGGAAGTGCTTGCTGAATCCAGCAAGGTAGAAATTTTGCAGGGTTGGAGGGGCAGGGAGCAACCTTGAGGTGGAATGGGATCAGGATAGAATGGGGGCAGAGGAAGTAGTGACAGCTAAGGTGGACACCTTTCTGGTGAGTTGCTGAAAAGGACAGGGCTGTGCTTGGTGGTGCTGCAAGTCTGTGTGCTTTGCTTTGCTCTGGAGTCCACCCACAGAATTGTGGGGTCACAGCTCAGTGCAGTGGGTGCTGGCCTTGAGGCCTCCCAGGCTAGCTCAACCCCTGGGTCATGGATGTTGTGTGCTTTCTTGGGCCTTGGGGATGGGGTCCGGGGTCCGGGATCCGGGGGCGGCACCAGCTTGGAAGCAGTGTCACAGGAATGTCCCCTTCTGTGGCTCTCAGCTCAGACCCGCTTTGGGCAGGAGGCATATCCCTATTCAAGCAACTTTGTTTTCTAGAGGGCCTGAGCTTCTCCAAGCACAGCACAAGAGGGAGGAGGCTGGGATGCTGTGGGCTGGTCTCCGTTACATCCAGAAGCCACTTTCTTCATCCCTGGAGCTGCAGTCTTCCTGTCCACAGCTCCCACTGCTTTTCTCTCTGGCCCGGTTGTTTGGCCACTAGGTGTCACTCTTACAGCCAGAGTCAGTACTTGAGGGCTGGGGTGGGGGGGGGAGGTGCTGGCTAGGAGAGGGAGTGCTGGCCTAGGTGTGCCGTGAGCAGTGGTCACCTGGCCTCTCTTGGGGTCCTCAGCGTCCTCGCTGCTCTTGGGCTTAGGCAAGGACTGACTGGGTAATGGGAGTTTCCCTGTGCTCTTTAGGTAACAAGAAGTGGGTGTCATTGGGGCCCACGCATCAAAGCAAGGTTGAAAAGAGAAATATTAAAGAAACCTAACCTGTAGAGCATGACTGAGGTTGGAGAGGCGGGAGAAAGCTTACGGAAGGTGAGGATTGTGACATGGAGCTGGGAGCCTGGACAGCCTAGGCTCAGAGCACATAGGAGAAGGGCTCATGTAAACCTAAGAAAAGCTCTCCTCTGTAAAGAGATCTGGGCGTTTTGTTTTGTTTACTTTTTCTTCTGGGATTACCTTTTCAGAAGACTGCTGAGGAGGGAGTTTTCTGCCTTGGGATATGAACAACCTATGTTCTCGAACATAGAGCAAAACTCTGCTTCCCCAGTGCTGTGGCTGCCCTCGGTGTCTGGACCGTTGGTTTTGATGGCCTTTTACAGAAATCTTTCCCTGAAACCCCCCTCAGTTCCACAGTTTCCCCGGGAGTCTTTATGAACCTCTGTGGGTTTTTTTTTTTTTTTTAAGATTTTATTTATTTATTTGACAGAGATCACAAGTAGGCAGAGAGGCAGGCATAGAAAGAGGGGGAAGCAGGCTCCCTGCTGAGCAGAGAGCCCGATGCGGGACCCGATCCTAGGACCCTGAGATCATGACCTGAGCCAAAGGCAGAGGCTTTAACCCACTGAGCCACCCAGGCACCCCTCCTCTGTGGGGTTTTGTCAGCATGGGCACAGCTCAGGTTTGAGAATTTGCTTTGACATTATCAGACAACCGGGCACCAGGCTTCTCATCTGAGTCGCAACAGAGACCTAGGGGATGTGGGGAAGGCGGATGAAATGTGAGCGTCTGGTGGCTTTGCGGAGGGAGGTGGAAGGCATGATCTCCTAAATATCGTCTTCCCTGCCCTGTTCTCCCCTGAGTTGTCTGGGAGCACCCGCGGCTATAGTGGCTGCAGTCGCCTGGCACAACAGAGTAACACTCAGTTTGGACTCCTCTACTGATATTTGTTCAGAACTGCCCCTGGGCCCTACAGTCTGACTCAGGCCCAGCCTTTCTCAGCTGTGAGCTGATCTGTCTGTCATCCCCCCACCACAGATCTCCTGATGACAGGGCGCAGCACCGCGTTTACCACTCGGCACATCATGGGTGTGCGCCGTGTGCTGGAGCGGAGAGGCCTCCTTGGAAGGGACCTCTTTATGACCAGGACTCTCTGCAGCCCAGGCCCTCGCCAGCCCAGAGAGAAAGGACCTGAGGAGGTGGCCCTGGGGTTGTACCACCGCCTCACTGCCCTGGGAAGAGCCCTGGGGCACGACATTCGTCAGCGAGCGTCCTCCACGGCCACGACTTGGTGGGACAGATATGAAGAGTTTGTCGGACTCAATGAGGTTCGAGAGGCCCAGGGAAACGTGACCGAGGTGAGGAGGGAAGTTGGGGTGCTGGGCCCTGCCTTCTGACTCGGGAAATGTGGCCTGAGGCTTCTGCCAGATCATCACCAGCCACATGGTCCTGGGAAGTCATGCCCGCATTTGCCTTTTCTCGAACGAATACTATTCATAGAGGGATTTGACTCATGTCTCACGTGACACCTGGGTTTGATAGCTCCACCTGGGGTGGAGCTTTCTGTGTAACCATGTTCACCTACCCCGAAAACAGGTTTCTGTGTACCGGTCAGTCCCCGGCCATTGACATCCATTGTGTTAGGCCAGAGGACACTTCCCACGTGGTGTCTTCGGGGTTGGTGAGGACGTTACGGTGTCCTCAAAGCCCTGTGTGGAATTAGAACAGCCCCGGTGAAGGTGCAGGCCCAGGGCCAGGGCAGCATCGTACGCTGAGCTGGAAAGACCTGCCTGTGGCTGTGAAGCTCTTGGTGGCAATGGAAACGCCTTCTGTCACCTCTGTTCCTGCTCCTGCCCAGTGCATACCAGGCTAGTGAAGAGGCAAGAATATGGGGTTCGTGGGAGGTTTTGAGGCACCGTACTGTCTCTCCCCTTGGAGGTCATGACCTTGCTGAGCTGGCGTTTCTGGGTCTGTAACATGGAGACATGGAGGTCACGGCCCTGCCTCTGGTGGCCTCCTTGTGAGATACAGCTAAGATAACGTACGTGGAGCAGCTCAGGAACTTGGGTTCCACCTCTTTGTGGTTTGCATCAGACTAGAGTTAACTGGATTTTGTGTGTAGTGTTCCTTATTTCCCAGTTTCTCAGGAGCACATTATTTCTACTTGAACGGATAAATCTGCAGATTCTGATGGGTATGGCCCCGGGGCTGCACTTTGAGGACCGCTGGGTGAGCCAGGATTTTGTGTCTGAGGGACTCTTTTCCACCCTTTCGCACCGACACCCCCACTCACCTCAGCCACAGCCTTGTAGGGCACGGAGCTAAGCCTGTGTGGGTATGGAGGGAAGCGAGATGGCCTCCGTCGTTCCCTCTGCAGGCAGAGAAAGTGTTCATGGTGGCGCGAGGGCTTGTCCGAGAGGCTCGGGAAGACTTGGAAGTTCACCAGGCCAAGCTGAAGGAGGTGAGGGACCGCTTGGACCGCGTCTCCAGAGAGGATAACCAGTACCTAGAACTGGCTACACTGGAGCACAGGATGCTGCAGGTACAGGCAGCTCGGGAGGCAGCCCCTCCTTGCCGGGCAGCGACTCTGGTTTGGCAGGTCATGGAGGGGCAAGGTGAGAACACTCACTAGCCTGTGGTCAGAGGTCTGGTGAGGAGGTAAACCTCCTCACTGAGCCCCAGGCTTCTGGACCCTATCCACCGACTTCGTCCTGGAGTTAGCAGTCCAGGGCAGTATAATCTGGGTCTCACGGAGGGAGCACCGTGGAGGAGGGACTGGCCCAGAGAGGACATTCTGTAGACCCAGCACTGCTGGGTTAGAAGGTAGTATGGCTCATCTTGACCACCCGCCATTGCTTTGCTCCCTGTCCCGACTGGGTTTACTCTGCCTTCGGTCACCCAGCAGGTTTTCGGAGCACGGGGTCTGTGCTGGGCTGAGGCTGGGCCCCAGGAGCGTCTGCTCGTGGCTACTGCTGCCGGGCCCCCTTGCTGCTTTGTAACACAGCTTTTGCTTCTGCAGGAGGAGAAGAGGCTTCGTGCAACCTATCTGCGTGCTGAAGACTCAGAGCGAGAGAAGTTCTCCCTTTTCTCTGCCGCTGTGCGGGAAAGTCACGAGAAGGAGCGCACTCGAGCTGAGAGAACCAAGAACTGGTCCCTCATTGGGTCAGTCCTGGGGGCCCTGATTGGCGTGGCTGGCTCCACCTATGTGAATCGGGTGCGGCTACAGGAGCTGAAGGCCTTGCTCTTAGAGGCACAGAAGGGGCCTCTGAGCCTCCAGGAGGCCATCCGAGAACAGGCATCCAGCTACTCCCTCCAGCAGAGGGACCTCCACGACCTCATGGTAGACCTAAGGGGCCTGGTACGAGCTGGGCCTGGGCAGAGCCCTGGGGCCCAGGCAGGTACTTCCCCCACCCGAGACAGAGACACGGATGTCCTTTCAGCCGCCTTGAAAGAGCAGCTCAGCCATTCCAGGCAGGTCCGTTCCTGTCTAGAGGGTTTACGAGAGCGGCTTGATGGCTTGGAAAAGACGTTCAGCCAGACGGCTGAGGTGGTTCAGCTTGCAAAGGCTGCAGTGCATCCAGGCCTGGTGGAGCCAGCAGATGGGGCTCTGCCCGGCTCCTTGCTGGAGCAGGGGAACATGATCCTGGCACTCTCGGGCATGGAGCAGAGGTTAGAAGCCCAGGTCAACAGGAACACCATCTACAGCACGCTGATCACCTCTGTGACATTTGTGGCCGCGCTGCCTGTGCTCTACATGCTGTTCAGGGCTAGCTAGCCCCTGGACCCTCCTCCAGAGGCCCTGAGGGGATACGTGTGGCTGTGGATTTAGAGAATCCCAACAATGAAGTGAGCCTTTGGGGTGCACGCAGCCTCACCCTGAGGCTGAGCACCATCTGTGTGGCTGACCAGCGGGCATACTTTGCTTTCTAGAAAATGCTCCCTTATGTTAATTATCAAAACTCTATGCTAATGTCCAATTAAAATGTCTTTGGGTTTGTGTTACTTAAAGCAGCTTACATCAGACAGAGTTTTTCTTGTTCAAGACAGATTTGGGATTCGAGGGTTGGGTCTGGAATTACGTACCCCGCCCCCCACCCCATTTAGTTCCTCTCTCACCTCCTTTTGGTCTCATCCTAACTTCAGGACCATATTGGATGTACTTACCCTTGAGGCCTGGGTGTTTGTTTTGGATTGCCTGGCCTGGCCTCTGCTTGCCTGACCTTCCTGTGTCAGATAGCCTGGGGGGTTCCAGTGAGTGGAATCTGGTACACTCACTGCTGACCGTGGTTTCTGCCGTTTCTGGATTACTTTCTCTGCAGGGGTGGGGAGAACCTTCTGGTTCTAACACTGGAGGGACGATCAGAAGGGGGGGGTAGGGATCAGGGGAATGGTTGATAAATATTGATGGGGACATAATTAGAGATTGGTGGCCAGTTTGGGTCCCTGTGCAGAGAGAGCTTTGGGCAGCCCAGTGTGCTGCTAGAGCTAGATGTCCTTCCATACACAGCCTACGGACTGCCTGTACACAGGCAGAGCTTACCCCATCAGCAGTATGATCTAAATGGCAAAGATGGGGAGGCGCCTCCCAGAGTTAGGAGGTGCAGTGGGGGGCATGGGGCTGGGTTGGGTGGTGGGTGGACTGCCTGGAAACCCCTGGCCAGTCCCTTTTCAGAGAAAAGCAAACTTTGACCTCCTGGGCTAAACAGCCATGGATGGCCTTGTGTCCATGGATGGCCTTGTGTGTCCTTGAGTAAACAGGAACAGCCAGGAAATACTCCGTCCTCCCTGCAGGTCCGGAAAAGCCACTCCTTTCTGAGCCTGAGCGGGCGGAGGTATGTAGATCTGTGGGGAGGGGCTCCTATGGGCTGGGACTTGTTTGCCGGGGCCTGCATGGAGCCCACTCTCAGCAGGGGCCTGTGAAGCCAGTAGGGTTTCCTGTGCTGTGCCCTTCCTCCTCTGAGCCTGTGGTCAGGCTTGGGCTGTGAGCCTCTGAGCACCTGGTGCCTTGGTCATTTGGTCATTCCATTCTTGACCTTGTTTTCTTTGTGTAATGTAATGGCTCCTCAGGATGGCATGGGATGAAATGACCTCTGTTTGTGGGATGTTCACCTGCCAAATGGGGGTAGGAGGTGTCATATTTGTGTACAGATAAGGGGTGCTGTGGGGTTTGGAAGTCCCGTGTACCCTTTGGCGTGAAGTAGGTCCTAAAGGGTGTACAGTTGAGTGAATGGATTTCAGGAGGGGAGAATTCCAGGTATGTGGGAGGGCTCCCCCCACTCCCCACAAGCTGCGCAGGCAGAAAGCCAAGGGGACTGAGGTGGTGATGGGTGTGGGGGAGGGGTGGAGGGCCTGGGGTCTCTGATGCCAGGGATAAGGGAACTGGGAAGGGGGTGCTGTGCTGGTGCAAGGATCCAGGTGCTCAAAGTAGGGGTGGAGGAAAGGGAGTGACATGAGAAGTTGGTGAGAGAGAAATTGGAAGGCAGAGTTGGGTAGATGGAAGTTACAGCAGACTCTTGATGGGAGGGGTGGTGGCAGGTGGCAGGAGAGCCCCTGTGGTGTTGGCTCTTTGGACAGTAGCCAGTGTGGGTGACCTAGACCTTCTGGTTGAGGCTCTCCATAGCCTGTGGAGACTATGGGGGTTTACAGGGTGATATGTGTGTGTGACAAATTTTGCCTCCCAGGAGGCTATCCCAGTGTGCCTTGAGCCAAAGGATGGGCCAGGTCCTGGCTCCTGAGTTCGCAGTGGGCAGGTCAGGCTGTGTGTGAAGGGCCCGGCAGAGGGCACAACTGGGCCTCTGTGCAGCGGTTCCTCCCTAGAAAGGCCCAGGTACGTTTGCCAGGGAGGGAGTCCAGACTTGCCCAGGGCTTCTCAGCTGAGGGTGGGTCCAGGTACAGGCCTGAAAGGAAAAGAAGTAAATGTGTCCTTGCTTGTGCACTTTGCAACCCGTGTGCACTCCTTTAACGGCCGGCTAGGTGTGGCATCACCTCCATTTGTCGGTGAGCAAATAAGGCGTGTATGGGGCGTGGGGTGGGGGGTCAGGTTACTAGGCTTAGTGGTGGCCACAAACCCAGGCCCAACCCCAAAACCTGTGCTAATCTCGCACAGCCAGAGTTTGGGGCCGGAAGGAGGGGGTGGCCATTAGGGAGTCTGGAGAGCAGGGGCGGTGGGGAGACACCAGGCGCCGAGAAGTTCAGGTAAAGAAAGTTGGAGGGCGGCCGCAGAAGGGAAGGAGGGAGCTCGGGGCGCGCGGAGCGGCGGTGGTGGCTGGCGAACCCGCGGGGCTGCTGAGGGGCGAGGGCAGCGGCGCGGCGCGGCGCCTGCACACCTGTGGGTGCCGAGCGCGCCCCCCGCCCGGCCCCGCCCATCCCAGGAGGGCTCCTGATTCCGGTTCCTGCGAGGCGGGCAGGTGAGGCCGGGCGGGGTAGCGCCGGGCCGCCCGCGCCCCGGGCTCCGCTCCTGGCACTCTGCTCCCCTGGCCGCAACCCGCGTTGCCGTGGCTACCGCCAGCGAGCAGCCCGCGCCCCCACAGGGAGGGGTCGAGTCCCCCGCCCTCGGCAAGTGCGGAGCCCGCAGGGCTGGAATGCGGGGTCCCGGGCGGCTCGGGGCCGCGCGCCCGGCTCTCGCGGCTGCTTCCGGCCTGGCCTGGCGGCGGGCGGGCGGGGGGGTGGGAGGGCGGCCCGGCGGGCGCGGGGGGAAGGAGCGAAGCCCGGCCCGGCCGACGCGGCTTTGTCTCCTTTGTTCCCGGCGGTGGCAGCGGCGCGGCGGGAGGGGCGGGCAGCGGGCGCGCTTTTCCGCCCCTCGGTCTCCGGGTAACAGCTGCGGCGCGGCCGGAGCCACCTCCCGGGGTGGGGGGCGGGCAGGGGGCAGTGAGACCGCCGCGCGCAGATCCCGAGCCCGAAGCGGCCGGAGCCCGCCTCGGCGCGCTCCTCCTGCGGGGCCCGGCCGGGTGGTGAGTGCGGGGGCCGGGGACCCGGGGCCGGAACGGGGGTGGCGGGGGTGGCGGTGCGGCCCCGGGGGGAGGTGGGCAGCTTCGGCCCTGATGCTGCCGGGCAGGGGCAGCCTGGGGAAGCGGTGGGCAGCCGCGGTCCTGAGAGTTGGGACCGCACTTCTCCGCACTGAAGGAAACTCTGGCGGCTCCGCCTGTAACGCGATTGGGAGACAGAGGAGGTGGAGCTGCTCCTCCGCGCCCCCTCCTCGCCGCCGCCTCAGCCGGGACCGGCCGGCCCCTTCCCCGCCCTCCCAGGACCGCTGGTGGGGTCCTTGCCCCGTGGCCGAGGGAGGAGGGAGGAAGGGCCGATGGGGAGGTCGGGGCTTCCCCCTCTGTATGCAACAGCCCTTCCAGGCTACGCTCCCAGGCGGACTGTGAGCCTTGTGTTAGGCATCCCCAGAGGGGGACCCCCCAGCCCCCAACATGACCCGGGCGGTGGGTGATTGCTGAGCGCTCCTGAGCACTCGCGGGTGGTGCATACATGGTGCCCCCCACCCACCTCAGCACGCAGGCTGCGGGCAGAACAGTGTGCACTACAGCACTGTCAATCTCTCCCTCGGGGACGCTGGGCACCGAGCAGGAGTAGGGGAAGGAAAGGCCAGTGTCCCACTGATCCCTGGGACTTGTTGTGAGGGCCTGAGTATCACCCCTCCAGAGGTGGAAGGGCAGAGTTTGTTAGCCCCTTTGGTTGGTGAGGACAGCCCCAGGACTACTTTCTCTTTGCAAAAAGAAGTTAGGCATCTGTGGGCTCTGCTCAAGAGGTCCAGAGAAAGGTGGGCCCAGAAGAGACCTCAAGGCAGGCACTGGGCCCCAGTACAGGCAGGTTAGGCTTTGCCCAGGAGTTTGGAGGAGGCCTGAGATCTGGTGATCTGCAAGTTGAGGACATGAGGCCTGGCTCCAAACCAGCCTTTACAGTCTGCTCTGGCTTGGTTATTAATAAAAGTGAGCCTGACAGCTTGTCCCTTTGAGAGGCCAAGTAGCCTGGAGAGGGGTGTGGGCCCCATATCTCCCCTACTGGCTGGATTTCTTCAGCTGTGAGATGGGGCTTCCTTCAACGTGTAAGGAGCACTTGCTTTGTGCTGATATCTGGCTCAGTTGCTGGGACCTCTGAATCAAAAGCCACACTCCTTGCCTGCAAAGAGCTTCAAGTCCAGAATGGAGAGGGTGGAACAGAGAGAAAAGTGGCCTTGGTTGGTGCCACTCACGCCAGGCACACACTGTTCCGTATTTAATGGCCGAAGCAGTCCTGCCTCCCGTTCTACAAACCGGGACTAAGGCTCAGCCCAAGGCAGAGCTGCTGTTCACATCAGGATGGTAGCTGGGTTTGTCCATTCCATTCACCATAAGGAGCCTGGGGGGAGACAGGGTAGGCTCTCCTGGGAGATGATGGTTGGGAGTCAGAGTCAAGGAGATAGAGAGGGAGTGGGCATTCCAAGTGGGGAGGAGTGTGAAACAGCCCACAGTGCAGACCAGCAGAAGCTAATAGCATCTGTGGGGGAGCCCTGGCACGGATTAGATGGAAGAGGGCGTGGACTGGAGGGCTTTGACCTTTATTCTTCAGGCCTGGGGCTGCTCCAAAGACAGGGGAGAGATATGCTCCGATTCTGCTTGAGGATCCCGTGAGGTAGGAGGGGCAGACTGGAGGGGTTGGGGGTGCTCTGGCCTGTGGCAGAGGTTAGGGGAATCCGAGTGCCCAGTGGGAGGAGAAGATGTCATTGCCCCTCTTTTCCCCCTTCTCCACCTGTGGTACATGGGGAAGGGCGAGGGTGGTGCTTCAGTGACTGAAGAGGCCCTTCACTTTTCCCAGAGCGGCTCAGCCTGCAGCCTCCTTTGTGGCCTGGCCAGGAGCTATTCTGATCCCTTCCATTTTCCTGTGGGCCACTCGACCCAGTTGTGATTTTACATTTGGGGAGTGTCTTGGTTGCTGCCCCTTGAGGGCTGGAAAACCTTGGCACGCAGTAGGCTCTAAGCAAATGTTTGTAAGCGAATGGAATGACTCTTGGTCTAACTATGGACCTTCTGTCCCTAGCGCATCCCTGGGAGGAGGTGGCCAGAGGTAGTGAGCAGTAGCTGAGTGTAGGAGATGGCCTCTGCCCATCCTTGGGCAGACCCTGTCTTCCCAGAGGAAGAAACTCTTCCCCCATCCCTTGGAAACAAGGTGGGGGGCTCCTGGGAGCCTGGCCTTGCCATAGTCCTAGGTTCACGACTCTCCCTGCTGTCCCCTTTCCTCCACCCCCTCGGGTAGCAAACAGAGGCAGCCTTGTTCCCGCTCCCATAGAGCTGCCCTGTTCTCCGCACACTAAAAATGGAAACCCCCAAGCTATTTCGGGAGCAGTGCCCAGCTGGGCTGTGGCCACCGCTCCCCTGCTCCCACCGGGCTGCTGGACCCTCCTCCGAGACTTAGGCCCAGCCTTCTCACTCTGGGACAGTCTCAGTAGCACCTTGGCGGGGTCTTGGCTGGGAGGAACTGACCCTGGGCTGAGGGAGACTCTCCCTCAGACAGCCTGGCAGCTGGGTGGCGGGAGGGGCCAGGCAACGTGGCCTGGGCAGAGGCAAGTAGGGAAAGTATCTTCCAGCCTGGGAGCAGCACTTCCTCAACCTGGTGTTCCTGGCTGGGAACCACCCGGGGTGGGGGAAGATGGTGTTGTCATGGTTTTCTCCTTCTGGCAGGCTTTGGGTGGGGGGGCTACAGGGAGGGATCTGGGAGGAGAGCAGGCACCCAGGCTCTGAGGTGGCCCTGGGGATGGGGACCAAAGCTGGACATGGTGACTTCCTCTGGGACAAGCCTCCCCCCCCGCCCCAGCCCTGGGCCCTGGCTCTGCTCTGACCTGCAGGAGAAGAAATAGCAAGAGATGTGCTGGCTTCTGCGGCCCTGTAGGCCTTAGGGCTCGAACCAGGGAAGTGTGCATGAATCCGTGTGGGGGGGATCTGAATGTGGGTGGGTGTGCCATGCACTCGTGTAGAATGCCTGTGCAACGTACATGTTTGTGTAAGGAGGTTGTGTCTTTGCGCAGGTGTCTGAGTGGGGGTGGGGGGAGTATGTGGCCTGTGTTTCTGCGTGCATCTATGTGTGGACACGTTGTGTCTGCATGCGTCTGCACCTGTGCCAGGGCCTGTGTGCTTGTGTGTGCGTGTGCATATGTGGGGCTGGCAGCATGTGTGCTTCCTGGGGTGTGCAAGCCCATGTCTGCTCATGTGCTGGTGTCAGTCTGGACTAGGACAGTCCCTGGCCCCCGGGGAGGGTATGGACCTGGGTGCCCTGGCAGATTTTGGGCAGAAGGTGAGAAAAAGGGAGTGCGTGGAAGGGAGAAGGGGCTGCAGAGGAACAGGGTGATGCTGGGGGGGTGGGTGGTGGGCCCTGCCAACTGTGGGGCTCCTTCCTAGCTGCCCTTTCCCAGGCCCTGAGGGTGCCTGGTTCCGCTGCCCTCCCCCTCCCTGTGTGGGCTCTGAGGAGGCGTCCCCTGTGGAATGTGTTTGGTGGCCCAGGGCCAGGCTGGGCCCAGTTCCACTGGCAGGCTGGGCAGCGGGAAGGGGAGCCCAGGCTCCCACGTGCCTGCAGCCCAGCCCCCAGCTTCATGCTCTGCTATCTTCCTGGCTAGGTGACTCCCACACAGGTCATGCTGTTGTCTCCTGATCCAGCCGGCCCTGCCAGGTGAGCCTGACTACAAACCTAGGCACCTGGGAGAAGTGTGAGTCCCGCTTCTTAGCGCTCTCCGAGGTGGTGTCCAGTGTTTCAGGCCCCAGCCCTGGCAGCCTCAACCTCCATCATTTCACCATTGGTTCTGTGGATTCCTTCTGGATTCCTGGCCTAAAAGGTCCACCATCTAATTCTTGCTCTGCTCTAATGTGCAGATGGCCCATGGGAACTTGCCCTCCCTCTTTCCCCTCAGGCCGCTGACATCTGTGCAGAGTGGTCCTCTCCCTCCTAGGGGCCCTGAGTCCCTCCTTCCCCTCACCTGTGCTTCTGCCTCTTCCAGGCCCTGGTCCCTGCGGAAGGGATGTTTCCCCCATCTCTGGCCCTCTGGCCCTTCCCCTGGGACTCTGTGATGACACAGGGTGGTACAGGGTGAAGGGGTGGTGGGGTGGGATGGAGGTCCTCCTGGGACAAATGTGCTTGCAGAAAATGGGCAATTTTGAAATTTCCAGGGAAGATCTCCTGACCCTTTGCTGGTGTGCCATCCTGTGGCATCCTGGACCATAGTGCCATCTAAGCCTAGGCCTCCTTTTTTTTTTTTTTTTTAAGATTTTATTTATTTATTTGACAGAGATCACAAGTAGGCAGAGAGGCAGGCATAGAGAGAAGGGGAAGCAGGCTCCCTGCTGAGCAGAGAGCCCGATGCGGGGCTCGATCCCAGGACCCTGAGATCATGACCTGAGCTGAAGGCAGAGGCTTTAACCCACTGACCCACCCAGGCGCCCCAAGCCTAGGCCTCCTTTGCTCACTCCCTGAGTTAGGAGGATCATCTTGGCAATGTAGCCCTGTCCCACCAGTGGCCCATCAGTTGTCCAACTCTCTCCTTGCCAGGTGACCATGCCCGCCCTCGGCCCAGCTCTTCTCCAGGCGCTCTGGGCCGGGTGGGTCCTCGCCCTCCAGCCCTCTCCACCGGCTGCTTTTGCTCCCAACGGCACACACCTGCAGCATCTGGCACAGGATCCCACTTCAGGCACTCTCTACCTAGGGGCCACCAACTTCCTGTTCCAGCTGAGCCCTGGGCTGCAGCTGGAGGCTGCCGTGTCCACTGGCCCCGTGCTAGATAGCAGGGACTGCCTGCCTCCTGTGATGCCTGATGAGTGCCCCCAGGCCCAGGCCACCAACAACCTGAACCAGCTGCTCCTGGTGAGCCCAGGGGCCCTGGTGGTGTGCGGGAGCGTGCACCAGGGGGTCTGTGAGCTGCGGCGCCTGGGGCAGCTCGAGCAGCTATTGCTGCGACCCGAGCGCCCTGGGGACACCCAGTATGTGGCTGCCAATGACCCTGCGGTCAGCACAGTGGGACTGGTGGCCCAGGGCTTGGCTGGGGAGCCCCTTCTCTTTGTGGGGCGGGGATACACCAGCAGGGGTGTGGGAGGTGGCATCCCTCCCATCACAACCCGGACCCTGTGGCCTCTGGACCCCCAAACTGCCTTCTCCTATGAGGAGACAGCCAAGTTGGCCGTGGGCCGCCTCTCCGAGTACAGCCACCACTTCGTGAGCGCCTTTGCACGTGGGGCCAGTGCCTACTTCCTGTTCCTGCGGCGAGACCTGCAGGCTCAGTCTAGAGCCTTCCGTGCCTATGTGTCCCGCGTGTGCCTCCGGGACCAGCACTACTACTCCTACGTGGAGCTGCCTCTGGCCTGCCAGGGGGGCCGCTACGGGCTGCTCCAGGCTGCGGCTGTGGCCACATCCCTGGAGGTGGCCCAGGGGGAGGTACTCTTCGCAGCCTTCTCCTCGGCCGCTCCCCCAACTGTGGGCCGGCCTCCTTCGGCCGCTGCTGGAGCATCTGGAGCCTCTGCCCTCTGTGCCTTCCCTCTGGACGAGGTGGACCGCCTTGCTAACCGCACGCGAGACGCCTGCTACACCAGGGAGGGCCGTGCCGAGAACGACGTGGAGGTGGCCTACATCGAGTACGATGTCAACTCAGACTGTGCACAGCTGCCGGTGGTGAGCCCCAGCCCCTCCCTGTCTGGCAGTCACAGCTAGGCAGGTGGCCCGAGGAGTCTGAAGGGGAGCTAGCGGTGGTGTGGGGGCTGATGAGGTCAACAGAGGTAATGTGCTTCCTTTGTGCCTGGGCGATGGAAAGACGCCTTGCTGAAATCGTGGTGCGCAGAGGTCAGAGAGCCAGCCATTTGGAACTGGGCTGGGACTGGACACTGCAGAGGGCGTATTTGTATGGATGGACTGAGGATTCTAGGGTGTGGGCCAGGGACCTCGATTGTAGGGGGCTGGGCCCTGTTTTAATTTTTTGAGCAAGGGAGGCAGGGGAAATTGAGACTTGTTTGGCTCTAGCTTCTGGATGGAACACAGGGAAGAAGCCACACCCAGGAGGACTGAGTAAGGGACAGGTGGCAGGGGCCCAGGGGAGCAGACTTGGACAGGAGGACTCAAGCTTTGGGGAGGCTTTGGACAAGTGGTCCAGGGGAAGACTGAGTGCATAAACTGAGGCAAGGCCAGGCAGAGAGACTGGGGTGAGGGTGAGGTTTCTAGGGGCTCCCAAGGAGAAGGATGAGGGAATAAGGCTGTCGCAGGAGGCCTGGCAGAGAAGGATCATTAGGGAAGAGCTGGCTGGGCCAGGTGATTGGGATGTCCAGGGAGGGTCTTATTGGGCTTGTTGCCTGTAGGACACCCTGGATGCTTATCCCTGTGGCTCGGATCACACACCCAGCCCCATGGCCAGCCGTGTACCCCTGGAAGCCATGCCCATTCTGGAATGGCCAGGGGTTCAGCTGACAGCTGTGGCAGTTACTGTGGAGGATGGACACACCATTGCTTTCCTGGGTGACAGTCAAGGGCAACTGCACAGGGTGAGTGCACAGGAGGTGGTGGGCCCTGTCCCAGGATCTGGAGGGAACAGGGTGCTGGGGACCAGCCTGGGCAGAGCTACACCTGTGACCCCTGGGACCAGGATGAGGGGTCTGTGACACACCCCTGGCCTGAAGGCTGGGAGAGATGATTTAGGCTTTTTTTCCCAGGGCTGGGTATTATTTACCTGTGACCTCCCCCACCCCCTCCTCAAGGGCTGAGTGGCAGGACCTGTACTGCCTAGGAGAAAACTCTGTTTCTAAATTGCTTCACTGTAGGAGAGGAGAGGCCCTTGGGTCTGTGACCATGGACCTGGGTCACAGAACTTGTCTCTGATCTCAGGTCTACTTGGGCCTGGGGAGTGATGGCCACCCGTACTCCACACAGAACATCCAGCAGGGGTCTGCTGTGAGCAGAGACCTCACCTTTGATGGGGCCTTCGAGCATCTGTATGTCATGACCCAGAGCACAGTGAGTGCCAGGCGGGAGGTGGGGCCTGGCTCCTGGGAGGGGCGTTGGGGCTGTGCCAGGGACCCATGAGTCACTGGGGTTTGGATTACCGTCATAGCTTCTCAAGGTTCCTGTGGCCTCCTGTGGTCAGCACCTGGACTGTGCATCTTGTCTTGCTCACAGGGACCCATACTGTGGGTGGTGTGTGCTCCTTGGCAGGTCAGTGCTCCCCTGACTCCTGACCCTTGACCTATTCCCCAGCTCCAGCCTCCTGCCCTCACCTGCATAATTGCCCTGTCCAGTACTCCTGGTCATCAATGATCCTTGACTTACAACCCCTGCTCCCTGGACGCCCTACTTTCCTTCCTCCATCCTCCATTCTGGGCATCAGTGCCCTGCCAGGGCAGACATAGCCTCGTGTCACAGCCCACCTGAGGCTCCTGCTCAGGTCCCCAGTGCTGGGCGAGTCCCTGCCCCCTGAAGGTGGTTCTCCGTTATTTTCATGCAGGTGCAGTCGCCACTCCGAGTGCTCACGGGGACAGGGCCCAGAGCGGTGGCTCTGGAGCTTCCAGCCCGAGCTAGGCTGTCTGCACGTGGCAGCCATGAGTCCTGCCAACATCAGCCGAGAGGAGCGGAGAGAGGTAAAGGAGCTGGGCGGGCGCGTCCCTCACGGGAGGGCTCTGGTGATGGGTCAATACCCCACGTTTTAGTGTCGGATGCTCCAAATACCACGTGGCCTTCCACCAGTCACTTCTCTCGGGGCCTTGCTTTCTCTGTTTCTAACCCAGGCTGGAGGGCGTTTATGAAGGCTCGGGGCCCGCCAGCCCTCAGGGGCCACTAGCCCCTGAGCCTGCTCACCTCGGCTGCCCCGGAAACAGGCCCTGGACTGCTGCCCAGTGGCTCCAACAGCCTGTCCTGGCCTCTCTTGGCAGGTTTTCCTGTCAGTACCTGATCTGCCGCCTCTGTGGCCAGGAGAGTCCTATTCCTGCCAGTTTGGGGGTCACCAGAGTCCCGCCCTGCTGACCAGTGCCGGTGTGATGTGCCCTTCCCCAGACCCTAGTGAGGCCCCAGCACTGCCGAGAGGAGCCGGTGGGTGAGAGAAGGGGCCAGCTCTGGGGCTTGGGAGCCCCACCCTTTTCCTGTCTTGCTCCAAGGGGCGCAGTTGGGGTGAGGTGTGAATCCAGGCAGAGAGCCCTGAAGTAGCACCTTTCTCTGAGTCCCCTCAGCTGCCCATTTTTGTGCCCTGTGGACCGTGTTGCAGACCCTGGGTGCTCCCCTCCGCTAAGGGCTGTGAACCCCACTCACCCTGGGCCCTCTCTTCCTGCTTTGCAGACCACATGTCCATGAACCTGGAGCTCAGGTTCGGTGCTGTGGTGATTGCCAAAGCTTCGCTCTCTGTGTATGACTGTGTAGCGGTCACTGAGCTCCGCCCATCTGCGCCGTGAGTCCCCTCCCCCGCTGCCAACCCCTGGCCCCCCGGGCTCCCCAAAAGTGACCCCTGCCCAATGGCTGCACTCTGTGCAGGTGCCAGGCCTGTGTGAGTAGCCGCTGGGGGTGTAACTGGTGTGTCTGGCAGCAGCTATGCACGCACAAGGCCTCGTGTGACGCCGGGCCGATGGTGGCCAGCCAGCAGGTGAGCGGGACCCCCAGCTGGCCCCCACAGGGTTGCACGGGTGTCTCTGACAGCCCAGGGTCTCTGTGCCTGCCCCCCTACGTGAGGCTCTGTTGTGAGCCTCCCCCACCCCGCCCTGAGCTGCTGTGTGTGGCGGACTCCCTGGAGTTTCAGGAGAGAACGTTTGTGGCTGAGCCGCAGGGGAGGTCTGGGCCTCGGGCCCCACCTCAGCACAGATGCCCCTGGAGCCTGCCCTCCCCTCCCCTCTCTCCTTTGGAGAATTAACGGGCTGTTTTTGTTTCTCTTTCCCTTGGTCTCCTTTCCTCCTAACACACCCTTTGCCTGCCTGCCACCTGCTCCTGTGCCTGCCTGCTGAGTGGCCCCTCCTGTCTTTCTCTGCCTCCCCCTTCAGAGCCCGCTTCTCTCCCCAGCCCCTCCAGCAGGAGATGTACCCACCCCTTTCTCACCCAGAACCCCCCAGGCCCCAGTCACCTCTGTTCCCGACGCCCTTCCTGTGGAGCCTGGGGTCGCCTCCACGGCCACAGCCTCGGCTGTCCCACCTGGGGACAGGCCTTCCCTGCTCAGCCCCTGGGGGCCAGGGGCGGGTCCTGATCCGGTACCTGCCTCCGCCTCCACAAAGTCACCTCTCCATGAGGAACCTCCCCCTGCCCACCCCCCCAACAGACCTGGAACTGCTGTCCCCGCCCCCACTGACTCCGGACCCACGGCCACACCCGAGGACCTCTCGGCCTCCCACCCATCGCCCTCAGATGCAGCAGCACTGCCCCCCGCCCCTGCAGACCCCGGCCCCGAGGCCGACCCCTCTGCGGCACTCCTGGACCAGCCCCCCGGCACTGCTCCCACCACCACTTTCCCAGGGGCCGCTGGCTCCGTGAAACCTGCCCTGGACTGGCTCACGAGAGAAGGCGGCGAGCTGCCTGAGGCGGACGAGTGGACAGGGGGTGACACGCCCGCCTTCTCCACTTCCACCCTCCTCTCAGGTGATGGAGACTCGGCTGAGCACGAGGGCCCTCCCGCCCCCCTCATCCTCCTGTCCAGCCTCGACTACCAATACGACACCCCCGGGCTCTGGGAGCTGGTGAGGCCCAGCCCAGGAAGGAGGCCTCAGGGGAGGGGACACAGGGCAGACGCGGCGCCTTACCTGCCTTGCGATCCTGCATCAGGAGGGATCCAGGGGCAGGATGGGTTCTGCAGCTCCACGCTGGCCTTGGGCCCTGGGTTCTGCACAGGGAACCTCCAAGTTGACCGGGTGGGCGCCATAGACTGCCTTGCTCTTGGTGTCTGCAGGAGGAGGTGAACCGGGGGCCAAGTGCCTGCCCTTGTGTAGACAGTGTTCAGGGTTCCATGCTAATGCCAGTGCACGTGGAACGAGAAGTCCTGCTGCTGGGCAGGAACCTGGGCCTCTTTCAGGTGAGTGTGTCCTGTGGCAGGTGGATGTGTGGCCTCCTTGGCTGTTGGTCAGCTGTACGCAAGCCCTGGAATGCAGGAGGAGGGCTTGGCCCTCAGTCCCAACCCGGGGGCTCTGTGAGGGGCCCCGGCAGGGCTCACTGGGCCCAGTTCCTCCAGTTGCCCCACCAACTGTGTCATCTGTCCCCAGGACAGCCCAGGAGACAATGAGTGTGTGATGGAGCTGGAGGGCCGCGAAGTGGTGGTCAAGGCCCGGGTGGAGTGCGATCCCCCTCCAGACACCCAGTGTCGTGTGATCTGCCGGCGGCACCAGGTGCGGGTCACAAGTGCCGGGGTGGGCGAGGATGCGCTGGCCACGGGCCGGCCACTGGCCTCAGCTGGCCATGCCACATTCATCCTGAGAGTCTGCATACCCCGGCTCTGGCCTCTGACCCTGTGTGCCTTGGGGTCCCTGTACCCCAACTCTGACCTCTGACCTGGTGCTCCCATAACTAGTCCTTTTGGTCCTTTCTGTGACCACGCCCCCTCCAGGCCTGATGGCTGGCCCCAGGCTCTGACCCCACTCCCATTTCTGCAGCTCAGCTATGAGGCTCTGCAGCCAGAGCTCCGCGTGGGGCTATTTCTGCGTCGGGCTGGCCGTCTGCGTGTGGACAGTGCCGACGGGCTGCATGGTGAGCTAGTGGGGGCCTCTGGGGCCGCGGGACTCCTCTACGCCCGCCTCTCACGTTTGTCTTTGCTCTCTCTAGTGGTGCTGTACGACTGCTCTGTGGGACATGGGGACTGCAGCCGCTGCCAAACTGCCAGGCCCCAGTACAGCTGTGTGTGGTGTAAGGGGGAGCGTCCACGCTGTGTGGCCCAGGAGGCATGTGGCGAGACCGAAGCTGTGGCCACTCAGTGCCCCGCCCCCCTCATCCACTCGGTGTGTTGCAATGCTGGCATGTCCCTTTCTCACCACTGCCTTTAGAGGGAGGGCAGGGGTGCAGGAGGCCTGAAGGAGGGAGGCTGGGTCTATATCCCCAGGCTGCCCAGGGGTGACTGCCAGGTGGAAGTGTTCCAAGTCCATGTCTTGGAACAGGTGGAGCCACTGACTGGCCCCGTGGACGGAGGCACCCGTGTCACCATCAGGGGCTCTAACCTGGGCCAGCACGTGCAGGACGTACAGGACACGGTCAGGGTGGCCGGGGTGCCTTGTGCCGTGGACGTTCTGGAGTACGAGGTCTCTAGTAGGTGAGTTAGCCGGACCAGCGGGAGTTCGGCACACCTCATGGGCTCCCTGGTGGGCTTTCCTGCACTTGGCCGCCCACCCACTCCTCATCTGTCCTTCCCTCTCCCCTTTTCCCTGCTTCTGGCTGCAGGGCCTCAGAGCAAGGGTTACCGTTTGAGGCCCTGGAGCGTTCGCCTCCACTTTATGCACAGGTGTGCATGTTCCTGGCCTGGGCTGCCGGGGAGTCACTGCTGGGCCTGGGCCCATCTCTACCTAGAGCTGACAGATGGCTCCGACGAGGTGTTTTCACTTGGCTTTCTGCTGACCAGGGACGTAGTTGTGGTAGCAAGGTTCTCAGATCCCAGATGACTATGCTCGGGGGCTTGCTGTCCGCCAGCTGCCCTTTCTGCCCCAGGCACTGCTGCAGGAGGGCACCTCAGGATGACAGATTTGTGGCCCGCCTGCCGAGTCCGGTCCCTGGGACCCCCAGCTGCCTTCCCAGGCCTGCAGCTGAGAGAGGTTCTGGCCCATGGTAGCCTGGCTGGCAGTTGCAGGGTCCCAAAGGTGCTCACACAAGACACTCCCAAGGCGATATCCACGATCAGCAAATCCCAAACCCAGCTGAATATCTGGATTACCTGGAGAGCCTGTCCAAAGCCACCATGGAATGGGTCCTTCGTACCCACCCTCGGAGATCTAGACCGAGTAGGCCCATGCTGGGACCCCATAGTTTGTATCTTATTTAACTTAATTATTTATTTTGGTAATCTGTATTTTATTTATTTATTTTTGAAGATTTTATTTATTTTTTTAATATTTAAAAAAAAATTTTTAAGAGCTTATTTGTTTGTCAGAGAAAGAGAGCGCGTGCATGCTTGAGCACAAGCAGGGGGAGCAGCAGGCAGAGGGAGAAGCAGGGTCCCCACTGAACAAGGAGCCTGTTGTGGGGCTGGATCCCAAGACACTGGGATCATGTCCTGAGCCAAAGGCAGAGGCTTAACTCACTGAGCTGCCCAGGCATCCCTATTTATTTATTTTAATTTTTATTTAATTATTTAGTTAGTTTTTAAAAGACTTAGTTTATTATTTGACGGAGAGAGACACAGCGAGAGAGGGGACACAAGCAGGGAGAGAGGGAGAGAGAGAAGCAGGCTTTCTGCTGAGCAGAGAGCCCGATATGGGGCTTGATCCCAGGACCCTGAGATCATGACCTGAGCCGAAGGCAGGGGCTTAACCAGTGAGCCACCCAGGCACCTCCCCTATTTATTTATTTTTAGAGAGTGAGTGGGCACGCATATGTGTGCACGTGGCAGTGGGGTCGAGGTGGGGGAGAGGGGCAGAGGGAGAGACAATCTTAAGCAGGCTTCATGCTTAATGGGGTGCCTGATGCAGGGCTTGATCTCATGACCCTGAGATCATGACCGGAGTTGAGATCAAGAGTCCCAGACACTCTAATTGACTGAGCCATGCAGGCACCCCCTCATAATAAGTATTTTAAACTAGACATTGCAGGGCACCTGAGTGCCTCAGTTGGTTAAGTGTCTGCCTTCGGCTCAGGTCCTGATCTTGGGGTCCTGGGATGGAGCCCCGCGTCGGGCTCCCTGCTCATCGAGGAGCCTGCTTCTCCCTCTCCTGCTGCCTCTCCCCCTAGTTTGTGCTCTCTCTCTTGCTCACTCGCTCTGAAGTAAATAAATAAAATCTTTAAAAAAAATTAAAAGTAGGGGCACCTGGATGGCTCAGTGGGTTAAAGCCTCTGCCTTCAGCTCAGGTCATGATCCCGGGGTCCTGGGATGGAGCCCCGTGTCGGGCTCTCTGCTCAGCAGGGAGCCTGCTTCCTCCTTTCTCTCTGCCTGCCTCTGTGCCTGCTTGTGATCTCTGTCAAATAAATAAATAAAATCTTTTAAAAAAAAATTAAAAGTAAACCAGACTTTGTTGGAGCACGTGATTTCCCCCTTCAGTGTGTTATGACCAAAAACTTGAGGTGATCGTCTAGACTGTTAATGATTTTAAAACCATGAGACAATGGTAACTTGCAAAGTGATTTATAAAGAGATTAAAATATTCGCTGGTTGGAGTCTCTCCTGGGTACTTCACACATCACTTGTTCTGTTTTCCAACGTGCTGGCAGTGAGTGTGACCATGTCACGGATTCGCGCCGCTGCCAGCTTCATGTTGGGGAAATTGATTTGCCCCAAGCTTCTGTTTTCTGGCCGAGTACCAGCATTTTCTGAGATTGCTCACTTTCCCTTTCCGTCTGTCCCCCAACCTGACTAGAGGCTTCCAGGGACTTTTTTTCATGAGGAAATCAAGTTGCCACTGCTTTGCGAGTGGTGTGGCACGCGTGGTGATGGTTAGGCCAAGCGTTAGCTCAACCCCTCATCCTACAGCCAGCCCTCCGGGGCTCCTTATAAATTTGTGCCACAGAGAGAGGGGGATTCCCCTTCATGAGGGGGGCCTCAGGGTTGGATTCGAATACCTGAAACTGTGAATGTGAATTCACAGGGGCCAGAGCCCCCTGCAGTGGCATAAGGCATTCCCTCCACAGCAAGAGGATCTCTGTCCAATTCAGGAGCTGGAAGAACACCTGATTGAGTGGGGGCAAGGAGGGGGCAGCTGAGTCCGTTTGAGGGAGCCCTTGGTGTGGCCCAGCACCCCAGCCTGCCCTGTGCCCACAGCTTCGTGTGCGTCACTGAGGCCAGTGGTGGGGAGGTAGCTGGCACGGTGACGGTGGAGGTGCCAGGAAGAGGACGTGGCATCTCAGAGCACAACTTCGCCTACCAGGTGAGGTGGCTCCCCCCCAGCCCATCTAGTTTTGCCCTCCTGGGGCTTCCCACCCTAGGCCCTTCTGTCTGCCTCAGGCTCCCCTGGCTTCTCTGTGGGTGGCCTCATGCATGCCTATCTCTCCCTACCCCTGTTCCCACAGGACCCGAAGGTGTATTCCATCTTCCCGACCCGGGGCCCCAGAGCCGGGGGCACCCATCTGACCCTGCATGGCTCCAAGCTCCTGACTGGGCGGCTGGAGGACCTCCGAGTTGTCGTTGGAGACCATCCTTGTCACCTGTGAGGGCTGCTTCCTCATTCTCCCAAAATCCATGTGTTCCAGGGAGAAGACAGAGGGGCAGGATGCTGGGGAGACCGGAAGCGGGGGAGAGGGCCAGGTCTGCTCCAGCAGAAAGTGGCCAGATCTTTCTGAAACTGGGGCTGTTGTGGGAAGGCGGCCTCCAGGGTCACCTGTGGAGCTCTCAGTGGGCTCTGAGGGAAGTGAGTGGAGGCCCGAGTAGGTCCTGTGTCCTGGCCCGCCTTCCACTAGTCCCTCCCTTCCATAGGCTGCTGGAGCAGCAGGCTGAGCGGCTGCAGTGTGAGACCAGCCCCCGCCCTACGCCTGCCACGCTTCCTGTGGCTGTGTGGTTTGGGGCCACTGAGCGGAGGCTTCAACACAGCCAGTTCGAGTACACATCAGACCCCAATGTCACCTCTGCTGGCCCCACGAAGAGCTTCCTCAGGTGCTGGGCCAAGTGGCTGCATGGCATGTGCTGGCGGTGGGGGGGTTGTCTTCGCAGCTCTAGGACATGGAGGGGTTGCAGGGCTTCCTGTGGGTGTTGTGACTCCCGTGCCAATGGCAGGGAGAGGGACCATGTGGCTTGGGCTGGGCTAGGCGGGTTCTCATAAGCCACCCACGGTTCATGGTCTGTCTTGCAGCGGAGGACGTAAGATATGGGTCCATGGCCAGAATTTGGATGTGGTACAGACACCAAGAATCCGAGTGACTGTGGCCCCAAGAGCCCTGCTGCCTAGCCAGGGGCTTGGGCGGAGGCGCCGCGTGATCCCGGAGACGGCATGCTCCCCTGGTGCTTCCTGTGGCAGCCATCATGTAGGAAACCCACGGGTGTCCCTACGAGGAGACCCTTGGGACTAGCTATCCCCCGTGTCACCCCCACTCCCCACCCTGTGTTGTACAGCTGTGGGTGGCAGGTACCAAAGAGGCTCTCTCCCTGTCCTTGCTGGACCCTTCCTGCATGGCCCTCAATGGATCCTCCCTGTCTTTCCTCCCTCTGCCCCAGTTTGAGGAGCCATGCCACGTGAACTCCTCTCAGCTCATCACGTGCCACACGCCTGCCCTCCCAGGCCTGCCCGAGGACCCCTGGGTCCGGGTGGAATTTATCCTCGACAACCTGGTCTTTGACTTTGCAACGCTGAACCCCACACCTTTCTCCTATGAGGCCGACCCCACCCTGCAGCCCCTCAACCCCGAGGACCCCACCATGCCATTTCGGCATAAGCCTGGGAGCGTGCTCTCTGTGGAGGTACTGTGTCCGCTCACATGTGGGTCCGCGCGACCCTTTGCTTTGCTGGACATTGCAGCTGAGGGAGACGGGCGGGGGGCCATGGCAGCAGAGCAAGAGCCAGAGGATGGATCTGGCTCTTCACCCTTCATGTGGCGAGGGCTGAGGGGCTGGTGGGGGCTGCCTAGCCTCCCGCGTCGGGCGGGGGCTTGGGTCCTGCCGCCTGAGTCCCAACACATTGTGCGGCAGGAGTCTGAATGACAGTATGTAAATGGTCTGGCACACACAATAGCTGGGGGCATGGTACACAGTGGGCGCCTGGGCTGATGCCCGTTTGGCAGCCTGGCTCAATGTGGACAGGCCCTTGGCATGGGTTCGGACATGTGCAGTAGGTGGGCATCCCGGAAGGATGCACCGTTGTGCACCACCGGCCCACAGACACAGTAGGGGCTCTGGCTTTGTGAGTAACTGGGTGTCAGGACTGGGGGGGGCGACTTTATATTGTCCAGATTTTTAGCTCTGGAGGAGTGAAAGTGTGGGGAAGAAGAATGGGAAGGGCAGAAGAGGGTCGGGGGCAACTTGGGAGATAACCATGGATGGCCGCCTCCCCCACAGGGGAAGAGTGCTGAGGCATGATCAGTGCGGCACCTGACACCCCACCCTGGTGGGGGTGGGGTGTCAGGACTGTCCTTCCCTCCTTTGGGGAATGGGATCTGAGTGACCACCAGCTCCTCCCCTTAGGGAAGAGTTCTGAGTAATCTATCAGTGACCTCGTGTTCCAGGGGGAGAATCTGGACCTTGCGATGTCCAAGGAGGAGGTGGTGGCCATGATAGGGGATGGCCCCTGTGTGGTAAAGACGCTGACCCGCCACCACCTGTACTGTGAGCCCCCCATGGAGCAGCCCCTGCCCCAGCACCACGCCCTCCGAGAGACACCGGATGCTTTGCCCGAGTTCACGGTCAGTAGGTGGGCCTGGGCTGGGCCGGGCCCTTTGCACGTGCTGAGACCTTGCTCACTGGGGACTTCCCATGTAGGTGCAGATGGGGAACCTGCGCTTTTCCCTGGGCCACGTGCAATACGATGGCGAGAGCCCTGTGGCTTTTCCCATGGCAGCCCAGGTGGGCTTAGGGGTGGGCACCTCTCTTCTGGCTCTGGGCGTCATCATCATTGTCTTCATATACAGGTGGGTGCAGCCAGCTGTGGCTGGGCAGGGGCAGCGAGGGGGTGTGGCTCTAGAGGAAGGGCAGACGAGGCCAGGGGTCAACAAATGTTCCTGGAAGGTGCCAGAGAGTACTGATTTTAGGCTTTCGTGGGCCAGGTGGCCTCCGTTGCCGTGGTTGCAGAAGCAGCCGTAGACGAGAGGCAAACTCACGAGTGTGGCTGTGTGCCAACAAATCTTTATTGGCAGAAACAGGCTGTGGGCCAGATTTGGCCTGGTTGTAGTTTGTTGATCCCTGGACTAAACCACTGGGCTAGACTGGAGGTGGGCTTGCGCAGGACGGGACAGGCTAAATTATTCTGGGCGACGCCTTGGCTTGGCCCGGCATGGCCGTGTTAGACGGTGCCAGCCAGGGCCAGGGTGAGGCTGGGGTAGATAGGCCTGGGCCCGGGGCACCAGAAAGGGCTCTGTTCTGCTCTGGCCTCCCCCTTCCTGACCTTGGTGCTGAACAGGAGGAAGAGCAAGCAGGCCCTGAGGGACTACAAGAAGGTCCAGATCCAGCTGGAGAATCTGGAGAGCAGTGTGCGGGACCGCTGCAAGAAGGAGTTCACAGGTGAGGCTGACGAGCAGAGGCCTAGAGGATGCTCCGGGGCTCTGCCAAGCCTCCTCCCATGGCATGGGTCCCAAGCCCCAACCCGGCCTCCTCTGCTCCACAGACCTCATGACCGAGATGACCGATCTCACCAGTGACCTACTGGGCAGTGGCATCCCCTTCCTCGACTATAAGGTGTATGCCGAGAGGGTCTTCTTCCCCGGGCACCAGGAATCACCCTTGCACAGGGACCTGGGTGTCCCTGAGAGCAGGCGCCCCACCGTGGAACAGGGGCTGGGGCAACTCTCCAACCTGCTCAACAGCAAGCTCTTCCTCACCAAGGTGCCAAGCGCCCTGCCCCAGGCCTCAGGCCTCTCCACCGCTGGGGGAAAGGGAGGGAGGCTCCTGGCCCCGCCCCTCGGGCCCTGGCCCTGCCCCTTCTCTGTCCCTCCCGTTCTGAATCGGCTCCTCCCTCCCCATCCTGTCTCCTGGCACCAGTTCATCCACACCCTGGAAAGCCAGCGCACCTTCTCGGCTCGGGATCGCGCCTACGTGGCATCTCTGCTCACTGTGGCTCTGCATGGGAAGCTCGAGTACTTCACTGACATTCTCCGCACGCTGCTTAGTGACCTGGTGGCCCAGTACGTGGCCAAGAACCCAAAGCTGATGCTGCGCAGGTCTGTGGCAGTCGGAGGCCGTGGGGTCTGGGGGGCTGTCAGGGCTGGAGGCAGGAGCTGAGGCAGGCCGCCTGGGGCAGAGGAGTCTGCGGCTCAGACGGCTTTTGCTCCTGCCCCTGCCCTTTCCTGTCCTCCCAGGACGGAGACCGTGGTGGAGAAGTTGCTCACCAACTGGATGTCCATCTGCCTGTACACTTTTGTCAGGGTGAGAGAGGCAGAGGCAGGGGCAGGGTTGGGGGAGGCAGGTTGGGCAGGGTGGGAGGGGCTACCCCCCCAGGGGTGGGGACAGGGCTCTCAACCACACAGCTTCTGGCCCCCAGGCAGCTCGGACACTCCTGCCCAGCAAGTCTCAGTCACCTTAGGCCCTCTGTGGCCCGTCCCCCTCCCCAGCGTGGGCCATGCCCCATACAGCTCTGTTTCATGCCCATCATCTGCCCCGGGGGTCCTCATAGCCTGTCACTCCCCTAGGACTCAGTAGGAGAGCCTCTGTACATGCTTTTTCGGGGAATTAAGCATCAAGTAGACAAGGGACCGGTGGATAGCGTGACTGGCAAAGCCAAATACACCCTGAATGACAACCGCCTTCTCAGAGAGGATGTGGAATACCGTCCCCTGGTGAGTCGGGGGGAGGGAGAACGGGGAAGAGGGTAGGAGTGGGGAGGGACAGAGTGTGTGAACGTGTTCGCGCACAGTGGGGTCAGGCCCTGGTGAGGATGAGCGTGGGTGGTCGTGGTGAACATCTGTGTTTGGTTTACAGCGGGCCTGACTTCTGGCTGGCTCCTGGGGAGAGGCTTTAGACTGGCTTAGCAGGACAGCAGCTTGAGGGCCAGTCCTTGAGGTGGAGGGCCTGAAGGACCAGTGCCCACCAAGCCCGGGCCAGCTCTGTCAGACCCGGCCACCTCGTCCTCTGGGTGGCTTTCTCCTTAGGGCAGGCCTTTCCTCAGTGACCCACATGGGGTGCCTTTGGGAAAGTCTCATTCAGGCTCCACCAGACCTGCTCTCTCTCAGGCTGGCAGGGACTCGCCACTTCTCACGCAGGCTTCTCTCGGGTGCCTCAGCCTGACAGTTGTGCCAGGAACCTGGGGCCCTGAGTTAAAAGGGCCTTGTGTTCCCTGGTTTTTTATTGCCTTTCACTTATGTAGTACACTACGTTAGGTGCTGGGGTCACGGCGGAGGGAGCCACTGTCCCAGGGCCGGGTTGGTGGGGAGGATTGGGGACAGTGAAGAGACAAGAATTAAGGACTCTTCGGTGCCTGGAGGTCAGAGGCAGTGGCTTCCTCATGGTTGTCCCTGTCCCTGCGTTTCGGTAGGCCGAGGTGCGGCATGAGCCATGACTGCTCCTGTGTGTGCCTCCATAGACCCTGAATGCACTGTTGGCTATGGGGCCTGGCGTGGGAGAGGCCCAGGGGGTGCCTGTGAAGGTCCTGGACTGTGACACGATCTCCCAGGCCAAAGAGAAGATGTTGGACCAGCTTTATAAAGGAGTACCTCTGGCCCAGCGGCCAGACCCCCGCACCCTGGATGTCGGTGAGGGTGGAGGAGAAGGGTAGCCTGGGGGCCCGAGCCAGAGTGAAGGCAGGGCTGGCCCTGGCTCAGCCCTGCAGGGGCGGCGTATCACTCGGTGGGCGTGGGGCAACAGTGGACTACGGAGTCCCTCTGCAAGGACAGCCTCTCACATGGAGAGGGCCTGCCGCCCTAGTCTTTGCAGAGCATGGGGGAGGCTGCCCCCCTGATGGTGGGTCTGTGCCCCTGCGGAGGAGGAGGTAGGCCCCACCTGCAGGAAGGGTGTCCCAGGAGTCCTTAACCCACCTTGCTCTCGCAGAGTGGCGGTCTGGGGTGGCTGGGCATCTCATTCTTTCTGACGAGGATGTGACTTCGGAGGTCCAGGGTCTGTGGAGGCGCCTAAACACCCTGCAGCATTACAAGGTGGGAGGGGTAAGAGCGGGAGGAGGGGCGGGGGGGTGGGGCTGGTGGAGGGGTCACCGGCTGTGATCTGCAGGTCCCAGATGGAGCGACCGTGGCCCTGGTCCCCTGCCTTACCAAGCACGTTCTCCGGGAAAACCAGGATTATATCCCTGGAGAGCGTGAGTACTGCCCACCCCCTTCCAGCCCCCACCCAGTCACTGTTCTCTGCCCTCTCTTTGCCCAGTACCCAGTAACAGGCAAAGTCCTCTGGACCTTAGGGTGGGCATGTGTCTACTTCCCTTCCACCGAGAGAAGCCCTCAACCCGTGCCTCTGCTCCTGGAAGTTGGCAGGACCCTGAGGGCCCAGGGAAGGTGGTACCTGATGAGGGGTGAAGAGCTGTGGGGTCTTGGCACAGGGACCCCAATGCTGGAGGATGTGGATGAGGGGGGCATCCGGCCCTGGCACCTGGTGAAGCCGAGTGAGGAACCGGAGCCCCCCAGGCCTCGGAGGGGCAGCCTTCGGGGCGGGGAGCGCGAGCGAGCCAAGGCCATCCCTGAGATCTACCTGACTCGCCTGCTGTCCATGAAGGTGGGGCAGGAAGGGCGGGAGGGAGGCTGGGGTCAGGGCCAGGCCAGGCCTCAGGTCTGGGCTGCAGGGGAGGACGGCTGCTTAGGGGATTTGGGGTGGTGTGGGGCTTGCATGAGCATGGTGCCACGGGGCGTCCGAGGCTGGGCTGGGACTGAGGTTCCCTCCTCTTGTGCTTCCCCTCCCCCACAGGGCACCCTGCAGAAGTTTGTGGACGACCTCTTCCAGGTGATTCTCAGCACCAGCCGCCCCGTGCCACTTGCTATCAAGTATTTCTTTGACCTGCTGGACGAGCAGGCCCAGCAGCACGGCATTTCCGACCAGGACACCGTCCACATCTGGAAGACCAACAGGTGGGGAGGGGTGGCGGTGGCTGGAGCCAGGTGGGCCAGGCGTGCCGGGGTCTTCTGTCCTGCTTCCCCCGAGTGCTCACTGGCCACGCCTGCCCCACCCGCAGCCTGCCCCTGAGATTCTGGATCAACATCATAAAAAACCCACAGTTTGTGTTCGACGTGCAGACGTCTGATAACATGGACGCCGTGCTCTTGGTCATCGCGCAGACGTTCATGGATGCCTGCACGCTTGCCGACCACAAGCTGGGCCGGGTGAGTAGGTCCCGTCAGACGTGGAGGACACGCCGGCGGGGTCGGGGAAGCAGGAGCTGGGGCTGGGCAGTGCTGTGTGCACCCAGATTCTGGGCTTGGCCGACAAGGTCCAGGAGGAGGGCTGGGGGAGGCTGGTGACTCCAGCCCCAGGCTGGGCTTTGTCCCCAGGAGGTGGCAGGGCCTCGTCTTCAGAGACAACCCCTCCAGAATCAAATCCAGCAGGCAACCTGGAGCTGTTTTGGGACCGTAGAATCCACCTGTCCACCTGGTGGCCCCCACGTCACCTCGGGCTCCCCTTCTCCCAGTCGGGGCTCACTGTAGCCAGAGGCCCAGGGATCCAGAGTGACTCCTGCTTCTACATGGGGTGGTGGAGGTGTCTGGCTGCCAGTGCAGTGTAGATGGGAGAGTCTGGGGCAGCGAGTGCCCGGCGTGGAGCAAGGTGCTGGTGAGAGGAGCTGAGAGGCAGATGGTCAGGGCCAGGGCTGTCTGTCAGGTAGCACACAGTGGCGGGGTATTGTCACTGCAATAAGAGCCGGCAGAGTCCCATGACAGATAAGGGCACAAGGCTGCAACTGCTCAGGCCCCCAGCAGGCAGGGCCGGTGGCTCCTCAGGCCTGGGAAGGGAGCCTGTTAGCTCTGGAGAGATGGATCTCTAGGCTTCTGTGGAGAAACAGAAAGTTCAGTTCTATTCTGTAGTGCTGTCTTATGGGACCCGTTTTTGTTCCGTGTGTACCCATCACTCCGTCCACAGTGAACTGAGAACCACGGGGGCCACCAGGACCTGGGGCCATGGTGGGTGGGTGGGTGCTGCATGGTGGCGGGGTTCTTGCCCGACCTTCACCTGCCTCCCCTTGCCAGCAAAAGTGCAGATGCTTGCTGGGTAGCTCAGCAATAGCCCAAACCAGGAATGCCAAGCGTCCCCCCACGGAGAGCGGCTGAGAAGGCACGCGTGCTGGCTCAGGCCCAGGGACTCACACCACTGCCCACACAGGGGCGCCATCTTGCCTCACCCTCCCCACAGCTTCAGGATGAGGCAGCAGGTGCCGAGATCAGAAGTGTGCTGCCCAGAGCCCACTGCTGGGGGGCAGAGCTGGGACTGGAAGCCACTTCGGTGGTGGGGGATGGATCTGGGTGTGTCAAAATTGTGGGTCCTGACTGGAGAGACCTGCTTCAGGTGCCAGCTCGGCCACTCGGGGTGAGGTGGAGTGGGGCCATTTACTAAATAGTGGGGTTCGTTTCCTGATCTTGAAGATGATTACTTGGGGAATGAGCAGCACCAGGAGAAGCAGCATCAGGGCCCCACACGCCGTTGCACCCTCCCGGCCTGCATGTCTCCTCCTTGCTGGGTGCAGGTGGAGGCAGATGGAGCTGAGAAATGACCTTGGAATGATTCGGGGAGAAGCTTGGGGTGACAGGAGCAGAGGCTGGACATCGGTGGGGGGAGGAGCAGAGGAGGTCTTTGCAGAAGGAAATGGGCCAGGGGCACCAACTGTCCCAGGTGCCTGGGACCGAGGGGTTCTGGGGATATTTGAAATGGGGGAAAACCGGGACAGTCGGTCACCCTAAGGGGCTCTCCTCTTTCTTTCCTGCTGGTGCCCAGGACTCCCCCATCAACAAACTTCTATACGCTCGAGATATTCCCCGTTACAAACGGATGGTAGAAAGGTAGGAGGGTGAGGTAGTGGATCTGGAAAGGGGATGGGTGGACAGACGGATGGAGGTTTGTGGCTGCAGCCCAGGGGTGGACCCTTGTGGGGTGAGGCATGGCTCATTTTCTCAGCAGCTGCCATACCCATGGTCCCTGACAGGTACTACGCAGACATCAGGCAGACCGTCCCTGCCAGTGACCAAGAAATGAACTCCATCCTGGCTGAGCTGTCTCGGGTATGGCCCTCCCTTTGCTTCTTGGGTTGGGCACAGGTCTCCCACCGTGAGGATCCTGCTCTTTTGCCAGGAAGCCCTGGGGACATCAGCAATCCTGTGAGCTGGTTGGGGTGGGACCCATCTCATCGTCAGAAATGCAGAATTTTCCAGTGACCACTATAAAGACCAGGGCTCCCAGGACCTCACTACAGAGCAGCAGAGGCTTGTCCTGGCAGCTGCCACCGAACCTGACTCAGCTAGGTGCTGGGGGGCCTGCAGCCGTGCTGGGGTCAGGGGACGATGGGTCCCAGGCAGTGAGGTGGCTGGCGTTCAGTCCCAGGACGGCCCATGCTGGCCTGCTCTTGCCTTCATACTGCTCTGCTGCCCTCAGGGGTGTAGATGTGCCCATAAACCACACCCAGTAACAACAGCCCGGTGGTGGTGCTATATGGGGGGGCTTTGTGTACTCACCTGACCCCCCAGGAGCGTCATAGTTCAGGTGATCGCAGCCCTGTGGCCCTGATGAGGAGGTGCAGACTCCCAGATGGCCCCATAGAGGGGCCTGGTGTGACCTCACAGGAGGCAGGAGGGAGATCAGAGCAGACTGACGCTGGGTCACAGCCTGAGAGCAGCACCTGTCCTGCAGGGCCCTGCCACCATCTGGGACCCCAGGCTCCCAGCTGGCACCTCAAGGGGAGAGAGCCAGGCCCTATTCACGCTGCAGACCCGGGAGCCCTGGTGTGCTGATGGGGCTTCCTGTGCAACACCTGTCCCTTCTGCTGCCTCGTCCCCTGTTTCCCGGGGGTCCTGGGGCTGATGACACCCCTCATCTCTCATCTCTTATCTCCTCCCTAGAACTACTCTGGGGACCTTGGGGCACGAGTGGCCCTCCACGAGCTCTACAAGTACATCAACAAGTACTATGACCAGGTGGGCAGACCTGCACAGAGCCCCGGGGCCTGATGGAGAGAGGGGTGGGACTCATGGTCCCCAGGGCATGGAGCAGGGTGCGCACTGGTGCTGGCTGTGCTCTAACCTGGCCGTGCCCTCTCCGTCTGGGCTCCTCGGTGGCAGGAGGGATCCCAGGCATTGGGGAGGGGCTGCTGGGGATCTGCTTGGCCTGGAGGTGGAGGGGGGCACATGCTGGGAGGGACACACAGCTGCCACCCACATCCCTACCTTGCCCTGACTCGCATCCTTCCTGAGTCTGCAGTGGCCGCGTGCCGAGCACGGCCACCTCTGGGCTGCCTGCGCTGCCAGCAGGGAGGGTCCTGCCAGGGGTGGGAATGGGCACAGCAGAGCTGGCGAGGGGGCTGTCTGGGCCCTTCGTGGACTGGGCCTCGAGATCAGAGCACCCACGAGTCAGCCAGCTAGGTGCCTGCCAGAATCTCACACCCCGGTGTTTGTGTGGCATCCACGGCGTGGCTGTTGCTGTTAGAGATGAGGAGCCTGCCTCGTGGCCCAGGCCTGGAGTGAAGACAGTCATGCCACAAACGAGGGACGCACAGATGTGAATGCAGGCACAGCGGCTTTGCTCCAGCAGCGCAAGCCCCTGTATGAGGGAGGCAGGGGGTGGGGGTGTGAGCCATCTGGAGGCCTCTCCCCGGCCTTGCCGTGCCCCCCGTGGCAGCCCCCGCTTGTGCTTCTGTAGTTGTGGGTGTGGGGTCGGGGAGCTCTCCCAGGACAGGATCACATGGGGCCCACTGTTGCGGGGTCCCTACTCCTTGCCCAGTGCCTGGCAATAGGAAGTTAGGAAATGCTTCTTGCCTGGTGGACAAGGGGAGCCGCGATGGCTGGAACAGGGCTTCTAGAGGGTTCGTGGCGAAAAGGTCAGCATGGTGGGTGCAGGTGGCCTCCACTCAGCAAGATCTTACCCGTGGAAGTGGATGCTTATTACCGTGCTAAGTACTGAGTAAAGTACCTCATTCTCACCTCTGGAATCCTTAAAACCCTATGCTGACCTCACCAGCCCAGCCCTGAGGAGGTGAGGGGGCTCGCTGTGTTCCCGGGCCCCCGCCCCCCGCCGGGCCGCAGCATTTGAGGCAGCCCGCGGACGAGCACAGGGAAAGGTGGTAGCGGGCACCCCTGACCGGCTGGTCTTGGTTGCAGATCATCACTGCCCTGGAGGAGGACGGCACTGCTCAGAAGATGCAGCTGGGCTACCGGCTCCAGCAGATCGCAGCTGCTGTGGAGAATAAGGTCACAGACCTGTAGGGACCTGGCCAGCCCTGGCCTGCCGTTGCCTCAGCCCTGCCCGGGCGGCCCCGGAGCCGTGAGGGAGAAACTACCTTCTTAGATGCCTGTAGTGCCTGACAAGCCGAGTTAGTGGAAGGTGGCTCCCAGTTCCCCTGGGGGCTCTGGTCTGGGCCCTGCTGGACCTGCCTCGCAGGCCTGGGGCCTTGAGGCTGATCGGGTGGGGCCCAGCCTGCTCCCTGAGCCCAGTGACCCTGTGGGCTATTTTGTGTGTGACGTCAGTCTGTGGGGAGTCAGGGACTAAGGGCTTCCAGAGAGTGGCTGGTGGGGCCTCCAGCCCCCGGAGAGACTGTACTGTTCCTGTACACTGGCCTTTATCCCGCTGGGATGCAGAGGGGGAGGAGAAGAGCCCCACTTCCTGTCCTGCCCTCTTCTATCATCCCTGACCTCAGTTTAGCTGCCTCTGGCCTTGTTGCTGCTGTCACGTTCCTAGGTCCGAGAGAGGAATGCCTTTGCTAGGCCGCTGCAAACTGACCCCTCTGTGGGGCTGGCTGCCTCCAGGCCACCCTGCCTCAGAGGCAGCCCATGGTGAGGGCCACCTGCTGCAGGCGCCCGGGGGAGAGTGGTGGCCCCACTGACCCAGATCTTCATTAAAGGATAACACACTGCATGGCGTCTGGTGTGTGGGCTCAGCCCAGCCCCTCCCCCTGGTAGGAGGTGGCAGCCTGCCTGGCAGGCCCTGGAGGGAGCTGGGATCTGTACCCTGGGTCGCGTGTGTGTGGGGGGGGCGGTTCTCGTCACCCCCACATGAGGCTGTAGCGCGAACCCCATCCAGGATGGGCTGGGGAGCTTGCAACCCGAGGCGGGGCGCTGGGGGCCGGTCTGAGTCCCATCAGGGGCCCTGCCTTGTCTGTAGCACAGATGCTCTCAGGCCGCCATCCTGTTGTCTTGTCATCTGGGAGGAACTGGAGAGGAGGACACTAGTACAGGTGACTCCAGGCACAGTGGGTCTTAGGCCGCTTCTCCATACTCCTGCTTCCTGGCTCCCCACACCCTTCTTGCCTGGGACGTTAGAAGGGGCTCCTGGATACTCCAGGCATCCGGGGTGGGGGGCTTGACCCAACCGTCTGCCTGTGTGAAGGCCACCTTGGGTGGTGATTCCTGATTCACAGCTGGAGGTGAGCGTTGAGACTGTCCCGGTCGGGTCTTGTGTTGCTGGCTGGGCCTGTCCGTCTGGGGCTCGATGCCCCTTTGACTCAGACTACTTTTGGCCTCGGCAGGAGGCCAGCCTGCCAAATAGAAACGCCCTTAAATCTTGACAAGGCTCTCCCCCTTGGCTCTCCACTTACTCCCCGAGCCCAGAGACCCCCCCAGGCTCTCTTCCCTTCTGACCAGAATCCCCACTTCCCACTCGGGTCTTCACAGAGTTTGAAGAGACTGAGGCTGATAGGATTCCAAGAGGAGTCCCTTCCTTTCCTCTCAGTGGCCCTAAAGCCATCTCAGAGTCCTTGCCCCTGAGACAGCGGGAGCCATGCTGATCTGTCTGTGCCCACTGTGGTCACAGCTGCTGTTCTCTGCCCTGAAGCCACTCACTCCCCACTTCCGCTCCTCAGAGAGGTCAGCAGTCAGGCCCCATCCTCTGGGAGCCTGGGAGCTTCGGTGCTTCAGAATGAGGAAACCAGTGCCTGTGTGCCCGGGAGGGCTGAGCATTGAACGCGCTCTGAGTTGTTTACTTCACGTCTCAGCCTTCTCAGAACGTTGTTCTAGATAAAGCAGAGAATGAAAAGAGAATGAAAACGTACTGTGATAACGTAGGAATGTCTTATAAGTCCTCACTCCGACACCACAGCTGAGAACGGAGAGCTCCAACAGCTCTGCAATTGCTCGCTTGGGTCTGGCCCCATTTCAGCATCACACGCTTGTCAGCCAGACTGACCAGCGTCTTCCTATGTTTCCAATCAAGGTGGCAAACGCGTACTCTCGTGGCTTGGTATCTCACACAATCGTGTTAGTGTACAATGGACCCTGTTTCTTGCCTGGGGCGCCTTCAGGGGTTTTAGGAAGTGACTTGCCTTCCTACATGAACTTTCTCCAATTTAAATACTGGAATAATTGTCCAGGCAAGATCTGGGAGTTTTGATGACTTTTTTGGCATTTAAAGAACTGTGCTCAATGGTGTAATAACCGAATTTGTGCTGATAAATGGTGGTATCATCTTGGAAGCCACTTGAAACCTTGGGAGTGGGCAGAAGGACTCCGGATCCTCCTGGGCAGCGCTGACAGATGGCTGTCGGCTGTGCTGGGGGTCACAGGGTGGGCCTTGGCTGCCCCAGGCTTCTGGTTGGGCGCTGACACTGGGGTATCCGGTATCTCTTCACCTCCCAGCTTCTCCTTAGGATAACACATTTCAGAATAAATTCAAACCCAAACCTTCTGGTACTGCTCCATGGATATCCCTTTGAAAGTGTCCTGTTTTAATTAAGGATGGTGGCTTATCCCATTGCAAATGTTTACCGGAAATCTAAGGCAAAGATAACATCTTGGTATTTGAAAGGAATTTGTTCCATGATTGCAGTTTGGGGGTTTTAAGTGTTTAGATTACTTGGCTGATATGTGTACTTGAAGCAGAATGATCTTTGGGCTGTCCCAGCAGCCACAGGTCTAGGAGCGGGCGGGAGGGTGTGGGGACTGGACCCCTGGGGAACTTGGGGACTTGGGATGGTGGTGTACTGCCACCTTCTGGTCACAGTGTGGGATTTGATCAGAAGCTGTTACGGGTATTTCTGTGTCTGGAGCTCTTTACAAATCACAGCAATGATAACTTAGTAGTGCTGGGGCTCAGGAGGTAACCTTGCCTTGTCTCTGACCTCTGGTTTAGATGTGAGATACATGTTAGGAAGTAGCTGAGTCCTGTAACAGTGAGTGGATTAGTGCAGAAAACAAACTTGAGTGTTTCAACAGAAGATCAATCACCAAAGTGTTGGGAAAGCAAAGCAGAGGTTAGTGACCACTGAAGCCTTTTCACCCCTAAACTGGCAGGGGCACAACCCTGTAACGGGCCCATGGGATGCGCCGGGGCTGGGTGCTCACTGATACTATAGGAACCCGGTAACTGACTTCCCGGCCAGGCACCTACTATGAAAATGCCACAACTCCCAAATTCATCTCTTTCCCACAATCTCAGGCCAGGAAGGCTGGAGACCTGGATTCTAGTTTGAGTTTCACTTCCCCTGACTTGCTGGGCCTCTGGGGAGAAAGGCAGAAATGTACTGGTACGTGGTGCCCCTGTGTCTCAGGATGGGACCCCAAGTTGGCAGCTGGATTTAATGAGGAAATGTTTGTCAAGGGCCGTATCCATCCAGCTCCTGGTGGGAAACTGATGGCATAAACCAGAGAAGAGGTCATGGAGATGGGCTTAGTGAGATAACTACTTCCAGAGCTGAGGGGGGAGGTTGAATCCATCCAGAGGGAGTGACTTCCTCAGGATCACCCAGCGAGGAGGACTAGAACCAGCTTCTGACTCCCAGATGGAACCTTGGAGACCTGCTGCATCAAGCTGCCTTGAACTTCCTACCCTGCCCTTGCCCGACAGGGAATGGCGCCCAGGTTCCCTGTGCCACCTCCCATTCCCCTTTGTCCCCAACTCTATTATTGGACCAGGTCCTTGGGTCTCTTGGGGGACCGGCCAGGCCCAGGTTTTTCTGTTTCTTGTACCTCATTCAGTCTTGGTTTCGTATCTCCTCCCCTTCTCCTTGCCTCCAGTGGTTGTGTCCATTTCTCCTGTTTTGTATGTATGTGTGTTTGTTTTTTGTTCCTATATTTGAAGGGAGTCATATTTAGGATTTTTAAATCTTTGTGTTAAACTTTTTTTTTTTTTTAAAGATTTTATTTATTTATTTGACAGAGAGATCACAGGCAGGCAGAGAGGCAGGCAGAGAGAGAGGAGGAAGCAGGCTCCCTGCTAAGCAGAGTGCCCGATGCGGGGCTCGATCCCAGGACTCTGAGATCATGACCTGAGCCGAAGGCAGTGGCTTAACCCACTGAGCCACCCAGGCGCCACTGTGTTAAACTTTTTAATTGAAGTATAGTGGACATATTAATTTCAGGTGTGCAACATAGTGATTCAACAGTTATACACACTATGAAATGCTCACCACGGTAAATATATTAAAATAATGTCTATTTCCTGTCCGTACTTTTCATCCCTGTGACTTATAATTGAGAGTTTGTACCTCTTACTCCCCTTCACCCATTTTGCCCTTCCTCCCCACCCCCTTCCCCTTCTTAGGCAATCACCAGTTTGTTCTTCATGTTTATGAGTGTTTCTCATTTTTGTTTTAATTTTTTAGATTGCACGTGTAAGTGCAATCATATGGTATTTGTCTTTATCTGACTTATTTCACTGAGCGTACTAGATCTATTCAGAGCCATCCCTGTTGTTGTAACTGGCAAAATTTTATGGCTGAGTAATAACCCATTGTGCGTCTGGGTGTCTGTGCATGTGTGTGGAATCTGTCTCTGTTCAGCCATCAATGAACAGAGGCTGCTTCCATGTCTTGGCTATTAGAAATTGTGCTGCAGTAATCATAGGGGTGCATATCTTTCTGAATTAGCACTTCCATTTTCTTCAGGTAAGTACCCAGAAGTGGAATTACTGGATCATATAGTGTTTCTAATTCCAATATTTTTTAAAAAAGATTTTGACATAGATCACAAGTAGGCAAGAGAGGCAGGCAAAGGGGGTGGAGGGGAAGCAGGCTCTCTGCCAAGCAGAGAGCCCGATGTGGGGCTCGATCCCAGGACCCTGGGACCATGACCTGAGCTGAAGGCAGAGGCTTTAACCCACTGAGCCACCCAGGTGCCCCTCTATTTCCAATTTTTTGAGGAAGCTTCAGACTGTCTTCCATATTACCTTCCCATCAACCGTTCCCAGGGATTCCCTTTCCTTCACATCCTGACACTGGTTGTTTCTTGTCTTTTTGATTCTAGCCATTCTGATGTGTGTGAGGGGATGTCTTACTGTGTTACTGATTTGCATTTCCTTGATGAGTAATAATGTTGAGCATCTTTTCATATGTCTGTTGGCCATCTGGGTGTCATCTTTGGAAAAATGTCTATTCAGGTCCTCTGCCCGTTTTTTAAATTGGATCGTGTTTTGGTGTTGTAGAACTTGTTTTGTTTTGGATGCTATTTGGACATCTTTTGAATTTTAATATTCTGACTATTAACCCCTCATCGGATGTATCATTTGCAAGTATCTTCTCTCATTCAGTAGGTTGCCTTTTTATTTTGTTGGCCTTCTTCGCTGTGTAAAAGCTTTTTAGTTTGATGTAGCCTCAGTTGTTTATTTTTGCTTTTGTTTCCCTGGCCTGAGGAGACAGATCTAGAAAATGTTGCTAACGCTGATGTCCAAGAGATTTGTGCGCACCAGAAGTTGGTTTGCATTTATTACTGGGTAGTAGCTCATTGTACGGATGTTGCTGAGTACTTTTCACCAGTTGAAAGAGATTGGGTTGTTGCAGATTTTTCGTGACTGTGAATACAGTGGCTATAAGCATTTATATATAGGCTTTTGGGTGATCAGAAGTTTTCATTTCTCTTGGGTACTTAGAAGTGGGATTGCTGGGTGATATGCTAAGTGTATGTTTTATTGCATAAGAAATTGCCCAGCTCTTTACAAAAATGGCTGGAGCATGTTGCGTCTCAGCCAACGGTGTCAGGGAGTTTCTGTTGCTCCACATCCTCTAGCTCTTGGCACTGTCCATCTCCCCCTTAGACTCCTCCAATCTAATAGGTATACACTATCCTTTCGTTGCCGTTCTAATTTAGATTTCTTTAATGGCTAGCAACGTTGAGCCCTTTTCATGAACTTGTTGCCTCTTGTGTATCCTCTTTGGAGGGGTAGCTGTTCAAGTCTTTTGCCCATTTTTACTTGGGTTGTTTTCTTGTTGAGTTTTAAGAGTTCTTTATATATTTGGGATATAGGACTGTAAGGGCTCAAAGGATTTGAAGGACTCATCAAGGAAAAAGAACAAGAGGTAGTGGGGCACCTGGGTGGCTCAGTGGGTTAAAGACTCTGCCTTCGGCTCAGGTCATGATCCCGGGGTCCTGGGATCGAGCCCCGCATTGGGCTCTCTGCTCGGCAGGGAGCCTGCTTCCTCCTCTCTCTGCCTACTTGTGATCTCTGTCAAATAAATAAATAAATAAATAAATAAATGAATGAATGAATGAATAAATGAATGAACAAGAGGTAGTAACACACACAAACTTTACTAAGCAGTGCATGGAGGGGAAGTTCCTCATCCTGGGAGACTGTCTGGAAGCTTGTGGTACAGGGGCCACCATCCAGGAGGGGAGGATAGCAGGGGTACTCAGGGAGAGAGGAGGGGGAGATGGGAGCAGGGGACTTCTGTGCCTAGGTGTGTGTTGGGGGGTGGGGGCCTCTGGGTCAAATAGTCCCCCATGACTGCAGCAGCCCGGGGCTTACAGTCCTAGGGCTTTGGCTTAGCAGTGGGTAAGGTTTCAGTGGGGGGTATGAAAAGCAGACAAGGCTCTAAATAGCTAAAACTCTGCTTGTTTAGGCCATTTCCAAAATAAAATCTGAATTTGGTGCCAGTTGGCTTTTGAGGTAACAGGCCTGTTTTTGGAGCCCGTGATAAAGCATCCTCAGGATCCAGAAACCTGTAAAGTCACAGACTAGGATTTCAAAAAACCTTTATTCCTTGCCAGTCTGCCCCTTTAGTAGTAGAGAACCAGGAGAACTGATCTGATCTCTCTGTTGAGTCCGCAGACCATTATGTGGTGTGTGTCCCTTACTGTGAAACTTGCTGAATGTAATTCAGCCCCAGGCAGGAGGAGGTACTGACAAGCGCTAGAGCCACTGACGGTGTGATTGCACTGGTAAAGGTCAAAGGGAAAGACAGGGCCACAGAGAAGGGGTTAAAGTTGAAGGTCATCTGCAGGGCATCTCTTGGGCTCTTGGGAACCACCCATATGGTGCTACCCCAATTCACGGCAATTAATTCTGTTAACAAAAAGGCAACCATGTAAATTTTAAAGGTCCAAGCGGCTTTATTAATCCATTTGTGAATTGGGCAGGGTTTCCATCTAGTGAGTAATGGAAAGCTCCAGAGGGCTCCAGAAAAGGAAGAGTTTTTAAAGTTAGAGAGTGGGGAAAAAGATTAGCAAAGAATCCACTGTTTTAGGCAAGGTTGTGCTCTTCCAGGGGACAGCAGTAACTCTCCTGGAGCTGATCGGGAAAGTCCCACGTAGACTGGGTAAAGGTGACATTTCTGGGGGGCTGAAACTGCAGCTAGGTTAAGTCCCCAAGTCTGCCAACCAAGACCTAATACCTTAACCTAAGAGACACCATGTGGGGCCTGTGGTTTCCTTTCCCACAGTTCCATCTCCTGGATGTCAGGAGCAGGTCCATTGGCTCCAGTGGCCGCAGCAGAGCAAAGTACAGAGGGGCTAGAGAGGCTGCCTTGCTCTCTCTGGTGAAGTCTTTACTCAATAGAATGTGTTAGTTAAACCTATAAACCCCTTGGGTTAATCCATTCAAGCAATGATATCTGGAAGGGAAGTTCTAATAAGAGGAATAGCCCTGTTTCATTCCCTGTAGCTACAGTAAGCCCCCAATCAGTAGCAGTGGCTTTCAGCACCAGCCAGCCCAGGGCACCCAAAGAAGACGTGGGGCATGCAGGAGGAGTCAGTACCCCTTCTGTAACTAAGTCGGCAACGCTAGGCTGGTAGGCGGGCACCCTCCTGATACAGGTAGGGGAAGATTAACTCTTCCCAGCAGGCTGAGACAGAAACAAAACCTGGCCTGGAATCCTGAGCATAGGTCAAAAGTGGACGCCAGCCCCCTGTGGGGATGCTTACAAAAAGGAGGGGCTAAAATGCCATCAGGTCTATTATTTCTGTGGGTTCTTGAATTCTTTTCACCACAATAAACCTTGGTCAAATTACCTTAATGGGTGTGACCTCTGTCTAGTCTTGGGACCTTGACTGATGTCAGCTCCACCTCTAAGGGGAGTGTGGTTACAGTTAAGAATTCTCTGGAGGAAATGGTTTCTTTGTTTTATTCCACCCATACCTGAAGCTGAGAGAGGCAGCTCTCCCCATCATCCTTCTCCAAGGGGTAGACTTCCCTTCAGTTTACCTACAAGGAAAGGGCTGTTACTTTTCTGAGGGTCCTGCACCTTACAGATCTGTGACCTGACTTCGACGTTGGCAGGGGTCCGGTGCTCCATCATGGAGTCCTTTAAAATTCTGTGAATAAGGCATGCAGCATTTCTGGACTTGCCCTCTTATTCCCCAGCTAAGAAGGTTTCTCTTCAATTCAACTCCCTTTGCCATAGATTTTAAGGTTTTCTTTTGCCTTTGCCTTTGCAGTTTTGAACAATGTTTGATGCTGTGTGTAGAAAGTTTTCTCTGCTTATCCCAGAAATGAGAGCCCAACAGCAATTGTTTTATTCTAAGTTGTTCAAAAATTGCATGCGCTGTGGGATCCTGTTTCCTCGGACAGATTGTGTTTTTTGTGCTCATGCGCGCGTAACCCACAGATCCTTGCCTCCGTTCCATCTCCCACCTCCATGTCCTCCGCCACATACTCCCTTTATGGCAGAGATTCTAATCAAGAAGACAGCCTCACCGGCTTTCCTTTCCTTAGTCGCGATGGCTACATTTTTTTTTGGTGGAGGTAAAATTGGTACAGGACAGGGTCCTCATTGCAGGCATAGGCTAGGGCTGCTTCTTAAATCACTTTTCTAAATGACAATGAGAAGGATCTTTAAAAAAACACAGATCTATAAAATGTAAGTCTTTTTCTCCTGTGGTAAAAACCAAAGTATTTGGGTCAGACTCTGCAGCTGTCTGTGTGACTTGACACCTTGACCTCCCAGCCTGTGTTAGTACATACTCTCCTCGTGGACTTTGATTCGCATCTAAACCAGACATGTGACTGTCCCAGAACTGCCAGGTGCTGTGTACAGCACATCTCCTGCCAGCTTCTCCATCCAACCTTGTCCATCTCCAGAGACCCTCCACTGACTTCCTTTCCTTTATCTTCCTGGTCACAGCTTCAAGTTTATTTTGAGGAAGAGGGAATGGTGGGCATTTTAATAGCCCAGAAACCCACACTGCTCCTTGGAGAAATCTCCTACTGAGATTTCATTCTTATGAGAGTAGTATGTCCCCACTCACATCCTCTTTCTTCCATTCCTCCCCTCCTCTCAGAGCCAGGACAGCAGACCTGTGGGTCTTAGGCTTGATGTATTAGTACTCTCTCCCTGAACTCTGAATCCTGAACCAGTGACACAACCTAGGGGGCAGTTCTTTTTCATGTCCATTACAATGGCTGTAATGAAACATGAATTGTAACTTCCTTGTGATTTAGCTTTTGCTGTGTGTCCTATTTCCTAGTCCTCTTGTACATTTGTTATTACCATCCATATCCTGAATCGCTTCTAGCTACCGTTGAGTATCGACATCTATGTTTTTCTTTTTTTTTTTTTTTAAAGATTTTATTTATTTATTTGACAGAGATCACAAGTAGACAGAGAGGCAGGCAGAGAGAGAGAGAGAGAGGGAAGGAGGCTCCCTGCCGAGCAGAGAGCCCGATACGGGACTCGATCCCAGGATCCTGAGATCACGACCCGAGCCGAAGGCAGCGGTTTAACCCACTGAGCCACCCAGGCGCCCAACATCTATGTTTTTCTAATACATTTATGTTTTGCTTGCATTTTAGAGAACATGGACTAATACAGATGACCTTCACTTTTACTATTTTTTTTTTTTTAAAGTAGACTCCACGCCCAGCATGGGGCTTGAACTCACAACCCTGAGATCAGGAGTTGCATGCCCTACCGACTGAGTCAGGCACCCCAGATGCCTTCACTTTTAAACCTGCCTCAATCTGAAGTCATACTTCCCCGCCCTCCCCCATATAAGCTCCTTTTGAATTGATTTGTGACCAGTTATATTTTACTCCCCTAGTATTCTATACTCTCCCTGCTAGCAAGGACAGAGGATAGGTTGCTCTGCCTTCTGTGTAGTGCATCTATTACAGTGTCTTATTTACTATAGGTGGTTAAATCATCGCTTCTTTCCTAAGATCACTAAACAGTCATTCTCGGTTTACAAACAGAATTCTCTTTACTACATTGAGAGAGATGATGTAAGGTTAATTCCATTAGTTTCCACATTACATACGCAAAGAATACATCACCAGAATGCTGGATTCACGAAGTCTCGACACCACACATACGATGCTCATGTTATCGCATATTGCTTTGGAGACATAGCTGCCAACAGGAAAAAGACCAGATCATCAGTGGACAAGTGGGAAAGTAGGTATAGCCATTGTTGATACTACTAAATGTGAACCTGACACAGATACGGATATTCTTCCCAAATCAATTGGTCCTTTGATCGCTGAAGTTATTCTTAGATTTGGTTTTGACTGCACAGATCTGACACAGTTATAGTGATTATTTTTTTAAAGATTTTATTTATTTATTTGACAGAGCGAGAATCACAAGTAGGCAGAGAGGCAGGCAGAGAGGGGGAAGCAGGCTCCCTGCTGAGCAGAGAGCCCAATGCAGGGCTTGATCCCAGGACCCTGAGATCATGACCTGAGCTGAAGGCAGAGGCTTAACCCACTGAGCCACCGAGGCGCCCCAGTTATGGTGATTATTAATTGCAAGAGTTGTGATCCCAACCTGCTTTAGATAACACTGCCAGAATTCTCAAGATAATCTAGAAAATCAGAGATATTATTTAGTAATGATGAGAGAATATTTTTAAAGTTTTTTTTTTAAATTATTATTCACTGGAGAGTGCTAGCAAGGGTATGAGCAGGGGGAGGGGAGAGGGAGAGGGAGAAACAGACTCCCCGCTGAGTGGCGAGCCCCATACAGGGCTCAATCCCAGGGCCCCAAGATCATGACCTGAGTGCATGTAGATGATTAACTGACAGATACCCAGGCGCCCTGAGAGAGAATATTTTAAAATAGAATTCTGTTCCCTTTGCCAATACCTGCCCTCTCAGGTGAGTACTAAAAGAGGCCATGCCTCCCGCCCCAGGGGGGTGATTTAGAGATTGTGGGGCATGGCCCTGTCAACCATTCTCATCCTGTACTAATGAGGTGATACTCCGACCCCTCTTCTCCAGGAGAAACTGGGGGGTGGGAGGTGAGTGGGTAGAGTTCTGTTGACCATACCTGCCTCGCACTAACCCAAGCAAGGCTAGTGCCTTTACCCCTCTCCTGCAAAGACTGAGGTAGAGCCTTGTTGCCCATCTCCTCCCCTGCACTAAGGTGAGTAGAGGTGGCCCTCCTTCCTCTTGCCTTCAAGCACCACAGAGACAAGTAATAGCTAAAAACTCCTCAAATTTGGTAAACCTACAGAGCAAAAAAAGGTGAGATCTAAAGACTAACAATAACTTGAGATTTCCTCCTTGGATGGCCCAGCAAGAACATCTCAAATGAAAGCCCTTACTCCCCTCACTGTTCTTATCCTCCTTCTTGTAACCTCAACCATCCAGTCAAGCACACTAGATGCCAGTTCAAGCATGACTACTAAAGGTAGTGCTCCCACAGATGGTACACCAACCACCACCACACCAACTTCACCTACTCGTCCAGTTTCTGTATCAAGTATAGTTAGAGCCTCCACTGTCACATCTATAGAAAGCAAACCAAGCACAGTTGCAAAAACATCACCTAGAGCTACCATGAACATCACCTCACCTGTAAGTGATAACTGGAGCACAATGGTTCCTTTTCCAAAAACACACAAGACTGAAAGTCCCTTGAAATCAGCCCGAGAAAAGTGACACTTATCTATAGAAGAACAACACTTCGAAAGACAGATCTCTCATTGGATACCATAGAAGCCAGAAGGAAATAACACAACATTTCCCAAATGCTGAAATAAGTTAATTACACCTGTGGAAAGACAGATCTGTGCACCATATACATAAAAATCACAAGCTAATTAGATGTTGTCTATAGGAAACTCATTTCAGCTATAATGATATAAGTAGACTGGAAGTAGATAAATGGAAAACAATGTCACATACAGACATTAATCGAGAGAGCAGGAGTAGCTAAGTTAATAACAAAGTAGACCTCAAAGCAAAGAAAATTGCCAAGGACAAGGAGAGACACTACACAAACATAAGAGGGCCAACTAACCAAGAAGATGTAATAATACTGAATGTATATGTACCAAGTAACAGAGCTGCAAAAATACATGAAATAAAAACTGATGGAGTTTAAAGGAAAAAGAGATCCACATTTATAATCAGAAAATTTAACTATCTTCTCTCATAACTGATAGAACCACTAGATCAATAATCAGGAGGGGTATGGAGGAACTGAAACAGATAAGACGATGCCGTTGGCAATTATAGAACATTCTACCCAACAAGAGCAGGGTACACATTCTTTTCAGGCACAAATCAAATATTCACCAACATACACCAATCCGTAGTCATAAAGCAAAGTTTGACAGACATAGAAGAAAAAACAATTGTGGAGTATGCTCTCTATAAGTGATTTAAACTAGAAATCAAAAAGATAGCAATAAAATATACAAACACTTGAAAAATAAACATACTTTTGAATAATCCATGGGTTTTTACTCCTGAAACTAATATTACATTATATGTTGACTAACTGGAATTATTTTTATAGATTTATTTTTATAGATTTTTTATTTTTTATCTGATAGAGATCACAAGTAGGCAGAGAGGCAGGCAGAGAGAGAAGGGGATGCAGGCTCCCTACTGAGCAGAGAGCCCGATGCGGGACTCGGTTCCAGGACCCTGGGATCATGACCTGAGCCAAAGGCAGAGGTTTTAACCCACTGAGTCACCCAGGTGTCCCTTGACTAACTGGAATTTAAGTAAAAACTGGAAAATAGTCAATCCATGGGTCAAAGGGGGAAAGGGAATTTAAAAAGTATATGGCACTGAGTAAAAATGAAAATACAATCAGTTGAAATTTATAAGTTGCAGCCAAAGCAGTGCTTAATGAGGAGTTTAGAGCATCAAATGCTAATATTTAAAAAGAGAGGTCTTGGGACACCTGGGTGACCAACTCTTGGTTTTGGCTCTGGTTGTGATCTCAGGGTTGTGGGAGGGGGCCTGTGTCGGCCTCCACACTCAGCAGGGGGTCTGCTTGAGATTCTCTCCCTCTTTTTTCCCTCTGTGCCTCCCATAGCTCTCTCACACATTCTCAAATCTTTAAAAAAAAAAAAATCTCAAAGCAACAATCTAAGTTTCTACCTCAAAAATTAGAAAAACAAAATAAACCAAAACAAAAAGAAAATTAAAGAGTAGAGATGAAACTGAGGAAAAAAAATAAAACAAAAAAGCCATTTCTTTGAAGAGATAATTAAAGTTGATAAATCTCTATTAAGACCAACAAAGAGGGGCACCTGGGTGGCTCAACTGGTTAAGCATCTGCCTTCATCTCAGGTCATGATACCTGAGTCCTGGAATTGAACCTCACATCAAGTTCCCTGCTCAGTGGGGAGCCTGCTTCTTCCTCTGACCACCCCCTTCTCATGCTCTCTCTCTCAAATAAAACCATATGTATATGGTTTTATATTTTATACATATAGATATAGATATATAGATATATAGTGTGTGTGTGTGTGTGTGTATGTGTGTATAAAAGACTGACAAAGAAAAAAGAAAAGAAATTACCAGTATCAGGAGTGAAGGAGTTGAAATCTACAGATATGTAAAAGACTAAAAGGAACAAGTTAGATGAAATGACTAACAAGTTAGATGAAATGACTAATTACTGGAAAATCACAAACTACCAGAATGGTACTATCATCTGAATGGTACTATAACCATTAAAGAATTCACAGTTGGGGCACCTGGGTGGCTCAGTCAGTTGAGCATCTGCCTTCCACTCAGGTCTTGATCCCAGGGTCCTGGGATCCAGTCCCGAGTTGGGCTCCCTGCTTGATGGGAAGTCTGTTTTTCCTGCTGCCCCAATCCCCTGCCTGCGCACATGTGTGCACTCTCTCACACACACATACACACTGTCATGTATGCTCTCAAATAAATAGAATCTTTATAAAAATTCTTAAAAAAAAATAAAGAATTCATGGTTATGGGGCACCTGGGTGGCTCAGTCAGTTAAGCATCTGCCTTCGGCTCAGGTCACGATCCCCGGGGTCCTGGGATCTAACACTGCATCAGGCTCCCTGCTCCGCGGGAAGTTCGTTTCCCCCTCCCCCCCAGCCCCCCTCATGCATGGGCTCTCTAATCAAAATCTTAAAAAGAAAAATCAATCACTGTAATTTGTCTTGTTAACAATCTAAAAAGGAAAAATCATATGCGCAGGAATTGGTGCAGGAAAACCATTGGCAAAATTAAACATCTATTGATGATAAAAACCCTAAGCACACAAGAACTAGAATGGGACTTCCTCAACCTAATAAACGGTAACTACAAGAACATACAGTGAATTTCATAATTGTGAAAGACGCAACACTTTCTATCAAAGTCAAGGAATCTGCTCTCCATTCCAATGTTGTTACTGGAGGGTTTTTTGTTTTTTAAAGTAAACTCTACACTCAACATGGGGCTTGAACTCATGATCCCAGGATTAAGAGCTACATGCTCTATCGACTAAGCCAACCAGGCACCCCTTGTTATTGAAAGTTCTATCCAATGCAGTAAGTCAAGAACAAGGACGAAAAGACATACGGATTGGAAAACAAGGGGAAAAAATCTGTCCGATGACATGATTGTATACATGGAAAGTCACAAAATATCTACAGATTAATAAGAGCTATTTGAATAATAGTTTAACAAGGTTGTAGGATATAAAATTAGTATTTCAAAAGCCAATCATTTCTACACACTATTAGTGAAAAACTGAAAACTGAAGATATTACTGTTACAGTAGCACTCAAACCACTAAATACTTAGATATAGTCTTACAAAATATTTGCAAAAGCTGTATCCTGAAAACTACAAAACACTTGATAAAATAAGGAAGACCTAAATAAATTGAAGAGACATAAGGTTCATGGATAGGAAGACTCAATTGTGAAGATACCATTCTCCCCGCCTAAAATTTATAGATCCAATAGAATTCCAGTATGAACTCCAGCAGAATTTTTGTGTGTCTGAGTAGAATTCTAATTTTTTGATATATTTAATCTCTACACCCAATGTGGGGCTCAAACTCATGAACCTGATATTAAGAGTTGCATGCTCTTCCGACTGAGCCAGCCAGGAGCCCCTAATTCTATTTTTTAAATTCCCTTAAGTAATCTCTATAACCAGTGTGGGACTCAATCTCACTACCCAAGATCAAGAGACACATACTCCAAAGACTGAGCCAGCCAGGGTACCCCCACCAGTGGAATTTTTGTAGACATTTACAAAATTATTCTAAAATATATGTAGGGGGAAAAAACGATACACACACACAAAAAAAACAAAAAACAAAAAACAAAAAGTATGTTGAAAACAAGGGAAACAGAATAGCCAAAGTAGTTTTGCAAAAGAACAAAGTGGAGGACTCACATCATCAGATTTTAAAATTTCTATGAAGTTCCACTTTCAAAGTAGTTTGTTATTAGAGAAAGGATAGACACATAGGTCCTTGGGACAAAAGAATCTTGAAATTAACATATCTAGGTTATATAACATTAACATATATACACATAACATTAACATATATACATATAAAATTAAAACATATATATGTTATATAACATATGGTCAATTGTTGGCAAAGATGTAAAGGCAATTCAATGGAGAAAGAATTTTTTTCCCCCCACAAATGGTGCTGAATAATTAAAATACCTGTATGTAAAAAGAAAAAGAAACCTTGATCTAGATCTTACCCTATATAAAATTTAATTTAAAATGGATAATAGACTTAAACGTAAAATCTCAAACTATACAATTTTGACAAAAACAAAGGGGAAAACCTTAGCGACCTCAGATTAGGCAAAGATTTCCTAGATACACATCCAGAGCCCAATCATTTCAGAAGAAAAATTGGAGATTCAAAATTAAGAACACCCGCTCTTTGAAAGACACTGTTAGAGTAGAAAGACAAGCCACAAAGTGGGAGAAAATATTTGCAAATCCTTATCTGATAAAAAATTTATATTCCAAATATATAAAGAGCTATCAAAACTTGATAGTAATAAACAACCCAACTAAAAAACATACAAAAGATTTGAACCAATGCTTCACCAAAGAAGATATGGCAAATAAGCAAATGAAAAGCTGCCTGACGTTAGGGAAATACACAGTACAACTATAAGGAGAGCACACTACACACCTATCAGAATGTAAAGTAGTCAAAACAAAACCGGAAAAAAACCAAGTAGGAATGAAAAGATGGACAGCCCCTAGGAAAGAGTTTTGCAGTTTCTTACAAGGTTAAACATACCATATGACCCAACAGTTCCCCTCTTGGGTAAATATGGAAACATGTTCATCCCAAGCTAGAAACAACATAAATGATCCTCAGCTGGCAAGGTGATGAACTGTGGTCCATCTCTACAATAGGGCCCTCACCACTCAGCAACTAAAGGGAGTGAATTCCTGATACACCACAGGAGGGTGAATTTTGAAAACCATGCTCACTGAGAGAAGCAAGACACAAAGGGATACATACTATATAATTCCATTTACATAAAAGCTTAGAAAATTTAAACTAATAGGGACAGAAAGCAGATCACTGATTGCCTGGTGCTGGGATGGAAGGAGGGAGAGTCTGCAACGGCGCCTAAGAAAACTTGGGGGATGATGGAAATATTCTGCGGTTTGATTGTATTTCTGATTAAAAGACTTTATGTTTTTGTCAAAACTCAAACTTTGTTGGACAACTGCATTCTATTTGGGGGAAAGACATAAAATTTCTTTGCATCGTTAAAAGAAAATAGATGGATAAAAGACATAATGCTACACAATATGGAACGTGTGATATGAAGGGGAAGTATTTAAAATTACTGAGAGGTGTCTGGGTAGCTCAGTCGGCCAAGTATCTGCCTTCGGCTCAACGTCATGATCTCAGGATCCTAGGATCCAACCCCACGTCAGGCTCCCTGCTCAGTTGGGAGCCCACTTCTCCCTCTGCCTCTGCTCCTGCTCATTCTCTCTCCCAAATAAAATCTTAAAAACAAAACAAGAAGCAGCAACCCAAATGATGAACTCAAAAAAAGGTATAAACCTTGCAAATAAAGATAGGATATTGAAGATGTAGATGTTCCATATTCTGCTGTGGACAAACTAATGGGAGCCCTTTTGGAAAGCCTTTTGAAATGTACTGCATGGGCTGTGAACATATTCCAAGAGCTAGCAATTCTTTCTGGATCCAAGTTTATTAATACATATATACATACACACACACACACACACACACACACACACATATATATATAATATATGTACAACTTTTTTAAAGCCTCACTTATTAGCCCTTCATTTTTTCATATGGAAGAGTTGGAATCTTTGAGGAAAGCTGAAGTCACAGAAGCAGGGCTTACCAGCTCGGCGCCGAGTCACTGCCCACGTGCTCCAGGTGGCAGCAGCTCTTGAGGTATGGGTAACGGCCTTCCTCTTCCCACATGTACAAATGCAGAGAGTCATCCATGGACGTGCTGAGGACGTGCACAGAATCCTACAAAGGACACCTGGGATGAGCAGCCCCGAGTCCGAGTGCTGGGCGGTGGGTGGGGGCTCATACCTACCACCCATAAGTTGCCGATGGTCCTCTGGTGGTCCTCAAATCGTTGCAGAAGGAGGCCACTGATGGTGAAGAGGAATAAGGACGGCCCGCTCTCAAAGACGATCACATTTCCGTCTCCGACTCCCATCCACACAGGACTCTCCATGTGAGGCGGCAACAGGAAAGTTGCAACCTGGTGGGCTGTGTTCATGCAAAACACACACACATCCATGCGGGTGAACTGGGGATCCTTGAGTCCGCACAAGAGCTTTATGCAGAATGCAAACACATACTCCCTCCTTCCAGGGGACCTCAGTCTGCTGAGGAAGACGAAGGGCAAGCTAGTGACAGATACAGGTCATGGACCACGGTAACAGGTGCCCGGACCCCACAACAGGGGGCGGTGGGCAGTAACAGGTCAGGCACAGAGGAGGCTTTGGGATCCAGGCCCTACAGCAGAATGGGAATCTGAACAGACCTGCCCAAGGGGGTGGGGGGCCTGTGTAACATAGTAGAAGTACGAGCATGGGCAGGAGAGGCCTGCAGGCTCAGGCTAAAGAAATCCCCTGCCCCCTTTCCACAGAATTATGGCTTCCAAAGAATACACGGGTGGAAGGGTGGAAGGGTCTAGAAACCATGCCTCCCATGTGGCACAGCCTACCTTGGATGTCTGTTTGGTCCCCCGTCCTCTCAGCTGTTAGCTCGAAGGTGGTAAATCCGGTCTTTCTGAAAGAGCCTCTTCGATACATCACTGTTATCCTGCTTGTCCTCCTTGGGGCCCAGCAGGCCCTGCAGCACGATGAATATGGGATAGAGAGGGACAGAGGGCTTTTGCCTTCTGCCGGTTTCAGCAAGCTCTCTGTGAGGAACACCTGGGGAGAGAGTATTGCACATGCGGTCAGGTGAAGGGAGAAATGACAGCACGTCAGGACAGGAGCGACTCCAGAAAGACCTCCTTGAAAGCCCTTGTTTTGTGGGGGCACCTGGCTGGCTCCGTCAGTAGAGCATGTGACTCCTGATCTCAGGGTCAGGAGAAAGCTTTATTTGGAATCTTAGGAAGCACTGAGTAGTCCCTGCTTGTCTCTGACATCCAAGAACTGGCTACCTCTCCTGCCTGTCATGGTCACGCAGAGAGCAAAGCCATCAAAGCTGTTCTTCTGGTGTGCTTGGAGCTACAAAATCATCTGGCCACACTGGAGCCCAGATCAAGCTGTCATTGGTTGGATAGATTTTTCCCTTCTTGGCAAACTCGTCATGGGCTGTTCGGCTTTTGCTGCCTCCTCTCAGCTCCTCGCTCTCTGGTGCATGGTCTGCATGTGCCACATGGTAAAAATGGTGGACTCAGCAGACACAGACTTTCTCAGAGGGATATCTGTAGGCCGATATGTTCTCATTTACCTCTGTACTTCTTTGTCCCTTCCAGCCAAGGTGGATAAAAGTGAAGTAAGGAAAGCTAAAAGGTTACCAAAGATCCTACTTTCTTGAGATCTCTCTCACTTTCCTCTAGCTCTTTGGCTGATTCAGGCTTCATGAGTAAACTTTTATTAACTTATTATTTTTTTGCAACCAGACCCTATCACTTCAAAGAACATTGTTTCTTGGCTCCAAAAATGGATTCTACGTGTGATATGGCCTTTGAGAGGTAGGAGCACCATGTGTAGTCCTCCCTGAGTTCTTCAGGTTCTCCAACACATCCTAAACCCCACTTTGATAATGCTTGACCCTCTCCTCCCAAAGTTAAAGCACAGAGCACCACTTACCACTGGTAAGATATTCTGATGTGTCCCAGATGCAAAGATCCATTTCTTGTCAGGAGAGCAGTGTAGGAGGTCAACACTGTATTTGAATGCATTGACTTTAGAGACATGCCTTAGCTCCGGCACGGTCAGTGTGTACATGTCACCTTCAGAGTTGCCTACCTAAAACCAAAGCACCACCACCATGTCAACGGAAGGAGACAGGAAATCCGAGAGCCCACAGAAGGCAGCACTGTCAGTTGCAAAACATACTACAGTTTCTTTGATCCCATAATGGTAAGGAAAAGCTACCTCAGCATTGTGAGAATGATCCCCAAAAATACAATTTCCTAAGCCCCACTCTTCTCAAGAATAGTTACTCACAGCATATCAATACTGTTCTTTTCTCACGTCTTCCCAAACCCATGGCTCTCTCTCCATAATCCCTGTCCAAGGTCAAGTACTGTACAATACACACTTGAAAGAAGAGACATAGATAGGAATCATTCAGGGAGGCCTTTTTTTTTTCTTTTCTTTTCTGGAAGAATGACTAGGGAAAACATACTTGTGGAAGATCAAAGGCCAAGATGGTAGCGGAGTTTGTATGGCCAATATATGTGGGAATGTTTGGGCTCTCAGGGTTTGTGGTAGGGAGGACTCCAAGAAGACAGACAGTAATGGGACAGTCATGGGGGCACAACACCTGTCAAGGCAGTAGGCATTTTGTTCTGTGGGCCCTCTCTAGGTGCAGGGCTCACTTACCATCAGGAAGGGGCCATCTTTTGTGAGACAGATTTCCAAGGAAAAACAGGCCTGTGGCATGGTGAGAGTAGCCAGGGCTTCCGCATCCTGACAATTCCACACTTTGACTGTTCCCTCCAAATCTGCAGTGAACGCAAGATGCATCTGAGGGAGGGTTGCCAGACGCATGATGCTCGACTGCTGGGTGGGGCTGGACCAGATCATAGTGCCCTAGAGAATGAGAGGACACTGTAGGTGTGCAAGGAACTGTTCACACCTACTGGGCTTTCTTTCTGCCAGTGTTTATTTGGAAGTTTCCTCCAGATCCATTTTTTGCTTCTGGCAAAAGAATAAGAAAATTCTAAACATCTTAATTATTTGAGGAATAGTGAGCACAGAAAAGGAACATCACAGTACATTCAAAGCAAGATCTCACTGTGCGATCAATCAGCATAAAGAATGATCAGGCTTCTGAGCTCAAGTCAGTTCTGCCTCTTACTAAAGGTGTTACATTCAGCAAGTTACTTACCAGTTGTGGCTTCTTACAGGGCTCTCGTATTACATTTCACAGCACATGAAATAGTCTTTTTGAACTCTTTCTGCCTAGGGATGCCAGCGTAGCTCTGTCGGTTAAACATCTGACTCGGTTTCAGTTCAAGTCATGATCTCAGGGTTGTGAGATTGAACCCCAGGTCAGGCTTCACGCAGAATTTGCTTGGGTTTCTGTCTCCCTCTCCCCCTACTCCAAATATTTTTTTTAAAGATTTTATTTATTTGACAGAGAGTGATCACAAGTAGGCAGAGAGACAGGTAGAGAGAGAGAGGAGGAAGCAGGCTCCCCCCTGAGCAGAGAGCCCGATGCAGGACTCGATCCCAGGACCCCGAGATCATGACCTGAGCTGAAGGCAAAGGCTTTAATCCACTGAGCCACCCAGGCGCCCCCCCTCAAATAAATAATCTTAAAAAACAAACAAACAAAACAAAACGAATTCTGCCTAGTCCACAGTAGGAATTTAAAGAATATCAACTCTCCTAATTATTATTCCATCATCAATCTTGTACATTGCAGATAAGACAAAAGAAAGTTTCCCTTCTCTTTAGCCTTTAAAAAATTGTTGGGGCGCGTGGGTGGTTCAGTGGGTTAAAGCCTCTACCTTTGGCTCAGGTCATGATCCCAGGGTCCTGGGACCGAGCCCCGCATGGGGCTCTCTGCTCAGCAGGGAGCCTGCTTCCTTTCCTCTCTCTCTGCCTGCCTCTCTGCTACTTGTGATCTCTGTCAAATAAATAAATAAAATCTTAAAAAAATTCGATTATATCAAAAAGAACACAAAAATATATGTAAATATTAGTTATTACAAATTGATCATATGACTCCCTCTAAGCCCACCAGTACTTGCTCTATTAACTTTCCACACTCCCCAAATGTAATCACCATTTTGGTCTGTAACACTGTAACACTGTGCAAGAAGCCATCCCAAAATTGGGTGGCTTAAGATCAAAACCACAATGAGATATCATCTCACACCAGTCAGAATGGCTAAAGTCAATAATGCAATGACCAACAAGTGCCCACAAGGGTGCAGAGAGAAAGGAACCCTTGTGCCCTGTTGGTGGGAATGCAAACTGGGGCAGCCGCTGTAGAAAACAGAATCAGAAAATTAAAAATAGAACTACCACATGGTCCAGCAAGTCCTTTACTGGGTATTTAGCTGAAAAAAAGGAAAATGTAATTTGAAAAAGCTCTATGCATTCTTGGGCGCCTGGGTGGCTCAGTGGGTGAAACCTCTGCCTTTGGCTCAGGTCATGATCTCAGGATCCTGGGATCGAGTCCTGCATCGGGCTCTCTGCTCAGTGGGGAGCCTGCTTCCTCCTCTCTCTCTCTGCCTGCCTCTCTGCCTACTTGTGATCTCTGGCTGTCAAATAAATAAATAAAATATTTTTTAAAAAGGCTCTATGCATTCTTATGTTCATTGCAACATTATTTACAATAGCCAAGATATGGAAGCAACCCAACTGTCCATTAATAGATGAATGGATAAAGACAGACAGACACACACACACACACACACACACACACACACACACACACACACACACTGAAATATTACTTAGCCATGAAAAACAATGAAGTCTTGCCATTTGCATCAACATGAATGGATCTAGAGGGTATAATCCTAAGTGAAGTAAGTCAGAGAAAGACAAATAGCATATGATTTCACTCAAATGTGGAATTTAACAAAACAGAAAAGAGATAAGCCCCCAAACAAACTCATAACTCTAGAGAACAGTTACCAGAGGGGCGGAGTGGGAGATGAGGGAAACAGGTGATGGGGATTGAGGACTGCCCTGGTCATGACAAGCACCAGGTGATGTATAGAATTGCTGAATTGCTACATTGTAGACCTGAAGCTAATCTAATGCTGTGTATTAACTACACTGGAAGCTTTTGAAATAAGCAAAATAAATAATAAACCCTCTCCAAAAAATCTGGGTGGTTAAAACAGAAGTTTTTGTTCTCTCAGTTTCTGTTAGAAATTCAGGTACATGGGCTGCCTGGGTGGCTCAGTTGGTTAAGTAACTATCTATGGCTCAGGTCGTGATCTTGGAGTCCCGGGATAGAGTCCCAAGTCAGGCTCCCTGCTTGGCAGGGAGTCTGCTTCTCCCTCTGACCCTCTCTCATGCTCTTTCTCTCTCAAATAAATTACATTAAATTAAAGAAATTTAGGTACAGCTTGGCCGGGTGGTTTGTGGCTAGGCGTCTCTCACGGGGTTGAAGTCATCTTCATAAGGATAAGGCTCATTCGGCCGGCAAGTTGGTGCTGGCTACCTGCAGCCCTCAGTACTTCCCACACAGACCTACCCTGCAGGGCATTTTAAGGGTCCTCATAACACTTCGGCTGGCTCTCTAGGAGCCAGTGATTCAAGAGAGAAGAAGCATCTTTTAGGACATAGCTTCGGAAGTTACACACCATCATTTCTGCAATGTCCAATTGGTTACCAAGGTCAACCCGATTCAGGGTGGGAGTGGACTACCTAGGATCGTGAATATGGGACAAGGAATACGGAGGCCGTCTTCCAGATTGGCGGACACACTCCACCCTGCAGTCCCTAATAACTCACCTCTCTCCCACACGCAAAGTACACTCTCCATCGCCCATGCCTCCAAATAGCTCACCGTTACAGCATCATCGTAAAATCTGGATCTCGATGTTTAAGGAGATGAAGTTCTTTAAATTCAGTTCATGTTGATGTGAAAACCTCAGAAATATCCAAGTTGTCTGACCCCCATCCCCAACATACAAGGATAGGACATTATACCATAGGTAAGGATAACGTTATAGACTGTCTCATCCGGGGTGGGGGGGAAATGGCAGTAGGGGTGTGGGAATCCCTGCTACACAGAAAATTCGAGATCCAATGACAATGTGCTAGTAGTACACTGACCAGGACTCAAGGCCCAGGAAAGATTCTTCAGGACTCTTGGCTCTGCTCTCTAGGCTCTTGGTTCTGCCTTCTGTGTTATGCTGCCCCGTCCATACCTGGTGGCCCAAATCAGTAGCTGAGTAGGGTCACAGGTGCTTCTTCCCTGTAAGAGCTCAGGATTCAAATGCCTCTTTTCCTGTTGTGATATTTCAGCCCCTGTATATCCAAGCCAGCAGCACCCTTGCCAGTAGGATTCCCTGAGAAAACTTTGTGGGTCTCCAAAGGAACCTACAGGGGTTGATGTCATTAGACAAGAGCCACACCCACAAGCTTTTGAGATGAATCCCGACACCCTGGGTGGCGGCTGGGTCTGCTGAGGACGAGGCTTCAACCTATGAGGTCCATGGCCTGACCTCGGTTCTGAAGCACCCTCTTAGCTCTTCTAAGGTCGAAAAGAATGTTGTGGTCACCGCTTTGGCTTCACCTTTATGGTATGGTTTATTAACACTGCCCTGCACTGATCTTGCTTGCAGTCTTGGCCTTAAATCTTAGCACCATTTGCCATCTTGAAAGACTGCAAATTTTCGGAACCAGCAAGCTTTGGCTCTCTTTTAACTGACAGTCATTTTCTCCTCTCCCTTTTCTCTTGTTTTACTATAAGCGGCAAGCAGTGGTTAGCCTTCAGCATTCTGCCTAGAATTCTCCTTGGCAAGAGCATTCAATTCCTTGGATCTATTCGCTCCTTTTTACGTTAGCCAGGGTGACAAGGTTGCTAAATTTTCTACAGCTGTAACAAGAACTCTGTTTCCTCTGGTGTCCAATACCCTTGTTTACATTTCCCTTTGTCTTCACTGGCGGCCTCATGGCAGGCCACTAGGTTTCTGCTAGGTTTCCTCAAAGTCCCAAAGTCTCCTCAGGGTTTCTCCAGCTTCTTTTCACTGCCTGGTTCTAAAGCTTCTTCCACACCTTAAATTATAATCAAGAAAAGGAGCACTAAAATCTGTTATCTGTTGCTGTCTAACAAATACCATAGCAGCTCAAAGGAAGAAACACTTATCTCACACACCTTCCGTCGGTCCAAAACTTGGGCGTTGAGTCACTGAGTGGCTCTGGTTTCGGGTTCCTCACTTGGTTGACTGTGGACACAATCTGAAGGCCAGAAAGTTAGCTTCCAATGTGATTCACTCACAGGACTGCAAAGATGGTGCTGGCTGTTGGCAGAAGGCCAGAGATCTTTGCCAAGTGGACCATCCCCTTGGCTGCTTGGATGTCCTCAGGGACATGGTGACTGGTTTCCCCTAGAGCAAATTATCCAAGAGAGTGCCCTTCTGATTTTCTCAGCTTTAGTGAAATGTAATTGACATATAACATTGTGTAACTTCAGGGGTGCCCGGGTGGCTCAGTCAGTTAAGTGTCTGCCTTTAGCTCAGGTCATGATCCCGGGGTCCTAGGATGGAGTCCTGCATCAGGCTCCCTGCTCAGCGAGGAGCCTGCTTCTTCCTCTCCCTCTGCTGCTCCCCTTGCTTATGTTCTCTTCTATCAAATAAAATATTTTTTAAAATTGTATAACTTTAGGAGTCCCTTCTAGACTTATTTCATCATTCTCCTGCCACCTCATATATTCATAAAGGGTTTACTTGTCATAGTTCAGAAGACCCTGTGTGAAAAACGGTCATTAAATACTTTTCACAGGGAGGAGAGAAATAAACAGGGAAGGCCAAGAAAATACAATAACTTGTGACCCACTTTGGGGTCTTCTGATTCCCCACCTAGTGATTCTTGCACTACATCTACTGGTCCTGATGTAGAAGACCTTTGTCTACCCTGGAAGTGACTGGAGTTGGAGACCACTTTCTGAAAAAGCCAACATAACAAAGGCCAATAGTTGAGAGGGAGAAGTAGAATAGGTCATGGAAAGGCACAACAGCCCAAGTTCATCTCACAGCCATTCCACGTTACCACTAGAAAGTAAGTCCCTGTACAAATCTATATGGAGAAACACACATAAAGGGGTGCCTGGGCCGCTCAGTCGGTTAGGCGTCTGCCTTCAGCTCAGGTCATGACCCCAAGGTCCTGGGATCAGGTCCTACATCGGGCTCCCTGCTCAGTGGGGAGCCTGCTCTCCCCCTGCTTGCCTCTCCCCCTGCTCATGCATGCTGACAAATAAAATCTTAAAAAGAAAAAAAATGGGCGCCTGGCTGGCTCAGTGGGTTAAGCCTCTGCCTTTGGCTCAGGTCATGATCTCAGGGTCCTGGGATCGAGCCCCATATCGGGCTCTCTGCTTGGCAGGGAGCCTGCTTCCTCCTCTCTCTCTCTCTCTCTGCCTGTCTCTCTACCTACTTGTGATCTCTGCCAAATAAAATCTTAAAAAAAAAACAAAACAAAAAACTACACATTAAAAAGTGAGTTTTCTGTGTGTCTACCATTTAAATGGAAAGGTCCCAGATTACCAGTTAGAAGACCCAATTTGAAACTCTGTCTCTCACCAATTCCAAGTACCATTGCTGTCCCCCAGCACTTGCCACCTGTGTGGAACAGGATGGACGTGACAGGGCGTTCCTTGTGCTCCTTGCTGGCCAGACTCACCTCCTGCAGGTCCCAGGCGTAAAGCATGTGCTTTGATGACACTGTACAAATGACTGACTTCTCCTCTCCACCCACTGCGTGGCCATATCCTGACAGATAAGCCATAGGTCCTAAGATTCCTAGAAGGAAACACAGACAATACTGGCTCACCAGATAGTTGAGGGATGAGCCAATTGAATAAAAAGGACTCTGGAAAGATAATGAAGTTTTCCTGCACCCTCTTAGAGTTTGGGAAACAATTATGGAGAAGAGGAGGAGCTAGTTCTAGAGTCATCCATACGTAGGTTCCCGCTGCAGATTGGCCTGAGGCACTGGCCGACTTATTTTTCCTCCTCCGTTTCAGTTTCCATACACGTAAAATGAGGATAAGGAGGTCTCCATCGGAGAACTGTTCTGAGTTTTATTTTTTTAATATTTTATTTCTTTGTCAGAGAGAGAGCACAAGCAGGGGGAGCAGCAGGCAAAGGGAGAAGGAGAAGCAGGCTCCCCACTGAGCAGGGAGCCCGATGTGGGGCTCAATCCTAGGACCCTGAGATCATGACCTGAGCCAAAGGCAGGTGCTTAACCAACTGAGCCACCCAGGCGCCCCTCTGTTCTCAGTTTTAAAAGAGGTACTAGGAATAAAGTTAATGGTAGAAGGCCTGTTATTCGGTTTCCTTTTTAAAATCTTTATTCTATGAGGAACGGAAGGCCTTTGGAGAAAGGAAGTCACAGGGCCTGATTTTAGCTCATGTAAAGATCACTCTGGTCTCTCCACGCATCATAGATGGTGGGGGCCAAGAGAAGATGGAGGGAGACCTTGACCGTGACCACAGCAACCCAGTCCCACTAAGCCTTCATTTTCTTTGTCTTCACTGAATGAAGACACAGGGAGAAAAAAGGATAGTGTGTTTCTTAAGACCAGATTTCATGTTCCTTTAGGGGACCCTATCCCCCGTACCGAGGTTCCCACTTGCTTCTCTGAAGATAAAGTCCTCTGGCTTCACCCGCGCCATACGGTGTTCCAGCTTTGTTTGTCTGAAGAAAAACTGCTTCCAGGTCTGTGAGCCCAGGCACGGGGAGAAGCTGCAGAAGCTCCATTTCCTCAGACACAGGTTTCTGGAAACAGAGTCATCAGCCCCCGAGGCAGCCCCCTTTAGCTACCTCCTCAGTAGTGTGGGTCTCTTTCCTCACTGTAAGCCTCACTTGTGCCTCTCCCAGCGCAGCCTCACCCAGGCCGCCTTGGTACACACTCGGATGTCCTCTCCCTCCCAGGAGACACCCCTGCCTTCCCGCCTTACCCTTCCCTTGCTCACCTCCATAGCTGGTCATTCTCTGCAAGCCTGTTCCAGCACTGAGGGGGAGAAAGGAAGAGGTAAGCAGGTGGTCAGTACCCAAAGGCTGGCTCTTCCTCTGCTCTCCTCTGTTCTGGAAGCCAGGCCCTCATCTCAGTGGTAAACCAGCCACCAACCCGGCTCTCAAAGCCCGCCCCGTCTGGAGGGACCAGGACACGGTAACCACAGAGGCCCATCGCAGCGAAGACAGGTGCTTGGAATTCTTGTGGGAGAAACACTGGGTTTCCCGGGGCTTCAAATGGACCATTTGACCCGCGCAGCGACACCTAGATATTCGTCTGTCCTTTTCGTTTAAAACGTGAGGCTCTCAGAGCCAAGGAGGCTAACCCCCCAAAACCCAGCGCATCCCTCCGCTCTTCTGCGAGCTGGCGCTCCACCTGGTCGCAGAGGCAGCTGAAATCCGGGCACTGGGTCTGTGGGAGCTGAAGGAAGGGGCCGGAACAGGGTAGACGTAAGCAAGGAGGGAGGCTGCGTGGGCCCAAGGCTGGGGTCCCGAGATGCCAGCGCGGAGGGGCTGCGGTGAAGGTGGTCTGTGTGACGACTCATGGAAGGGAGGTGGGGGGGAGGGGGCCCAACAGAGAGCAGCTTGTGGAGAGCATTTACCCTGTTCACTCCGGAAGCCTGGAGCAAGCTGAATGCGTCCAGGAAGGAGAAAATTTTCATGAGCGGCACATCAGGCACGGGGACCGCCATCCTGCACGGCCTGAACCGCGGTCCGGCCTCCTCTCCGGCTGCTCCGAATTTAAAGTCTTGGCCCAAGTCTGCAGCACTCGGGAGGATCCGCACCCGTAGCTCATCGGGCTCCGACAGAGAACAGGCCGCAGGTGGGCACGCTTCGGCCTCTGACCCCGGGCCGGATCCACGCCGCTGAGGGCACCGCCCCCACCCAGCACCTGCTTGTTAGTGTCCATTGTTTAAACCTGTTCCACGGGACCTTCTTTGGTACTGGGAACCGAAAGTGCAGAGTCTGGGGCCGCTCAGGGGCTGATGAACTTGTCAGAAGTTTAGGAGTTTTAGACAGACACACTCGAATTCACCAAATTCCAGTCTCTGTGTGACACCCTTTAAGTTCCAAATCACCAGGGCAGGGAATCAGCTTGGCACTTTTTTTTTTTTTTTAAGATTTTATTTATTTATTAAAAAGAGAGCACAAGCAGGGGGAGCAGCAGAAGGGGAGCGAGAAGCAGGCTTCCTGCTGAGCAGGGAGCCCAGTGTGGACTGGATACCAGAACACCGAGATCATGACCTGAACCAAAGGCAGACGCTTGATGGACTGAGCAACCCAGGCTTGGCATGTTTATCTATTTTGGGACACGGAATCTGCCATCACGGCCTATCTTCTAGCACCAGCACAGCCCTGGGTTTCCACCTTTGGGCATTCCACTTCCCGCTGGGAGGAAAAAGCACGGGCCACAGAGGCTTTTCCACAGAGTCCCTGCTAAGGGCACAGGGACCATTAGCGATGGCTCCCACAGGTGGTACCTTTCTCATGTGACCCAATTCTTTTCTTCCAAGAACTTGACTGGAATACTGATTCCAGTATTTTCTATGAGTTCCTCTGTGAGGCTCCGTGATGACCACCCCTTTCCTTGTACTGCTGCCTCTAGCCTGACCCACAGTAGTGGTTCTTGGAAGGCCTGTTTCTCCTACAATGTTATCTACTCCATTATCCAAAACCAGATTGGGCATTTCAGGGATAAGTGTCTTCTTCCACAGAATTTGCAGTGGAAAATCTTTCACCGTGACAGGCCCATCAAGTACAAACCTGACAACTATGGGAGGACACATTTTTCATTCTGTTGAATTAGGTTCATAGACAATCAGTTTGAAGAGAACGTCCTTTGGGGCACCTGGGTGGCTCAGAGGGTTAAGCCTCTGCCTTCGGCTCAGGTCATGATCTCAGAGTCCTGGGATGGAGCCCCGCATTGGGCTCTCTGCTCAGCGGGGAGCCTGCCTCCCCCCTCTCTCTGCCTGCCTCTCTGCCTACTTGTAATCTCTGTCAAATAAATAAATAAAATCTAAAAAACAAAAAAAGGAAGAAGAGAATGTGCTTTAAAGAGAAAGAAATTATCATAAAGAAAAAAATTTTGGTTTCAGGAGAGAGATAAAGGGAGTCTTCCAGTATCTTTCATATCAGTAATTCTAGTCCGTTCTAAGTCAGTTTCCCTGAACAATGCCATTTTACTGATTATAAAATTATAATCTGTTCTTCGGTTTATCTAATTCAAATGAATGAGCAAGCTCTTAACTGACTCTTTACACTTTAATACCAACAAAAATGTATGTTCAAATTTATTAGACCTTGATATACATCCTAAGCTTTTCTTCAAATATATTCATGTATGGGTCAATAGCACATGGGACTGCATACCTGTCAGTACGCCTAAAATAAAAAACACAAGAAACAACAGGTGTTGGCGAGAAAGGGAAACCCTCGTGTGCTGCTGGTGGGAATGCAAACTGGGTCAGCCACTGTGGAGAACAGCATGAAGGTTCCTCAAAAATTAAAAATAGAGGCGCACCTGGGTGGCTCAGTCGATTAAGTGACTGCCTTCGGCTCGGGTCATGATCCCAGGGTCCTGGGATCGAGCCCCGCATCGGGCTCCCTGCTCAGTGGGGAGCTGGCTTCTCCCTCTCCCTCTGCCTGCTTGTGCTCTATCTCTGTCAAATAAATAAGTAAAATCATAAAAAAAAAAGATCTGCCTGATGTTTCTTTAAAAATATTTTATTTCTTTATTTGACACAGAGAGAGAAATCACAAGTAGGCAGAGAGAGAGGGGGAAGCAGTTTCCCTGCTGAGCAGAGAGCCCAATGTGGGGCTCGATCCCAGGACCCTGGAATCAGGATCTGAGCCAAAGGCAGATGTTTAAGCCACTGAGCCACCCAGGTGCCCCAAGATCTGTCTGATGTTTAAAAAAAAAAAAATTAGGGCACCTGGGTGGCTCAGTTGGTTAAGCAACTGCCTTCGGCTCAGGTCATGATCCTGGAGTCCTGAGATCGAGTCCCACATCAGGCTCCCAGCTCCAAGGGGAGTCTGCTTCTCCCTCTGACCTTCTCCCCTCTCATGCTCTCTCTCACTGTCTCTCTCTCAAAGAAATAAATAAAATCTTTTTTAAAGGGACGCCTGGGTGGCTCAGTTGGTTGGATGACTGCCTTTGGCTCAGGTCATGATCCCGGAGTCCCGGGATCGAGTCCTGCATCGGGCTCCCAGCTCCATGGGGAGTCTGATTCTCCCTCTGACCTTCTCCTCGCTCATGCTCTCTCTCACTGTCTCTCTCTCAAATAAATAAATAAAAATCTTTTTAAAAAAAAAAAAATTTAAAAAATAAATAAATAATTAAAAATAGAACTACCCTATGATCCAATATTTCTACTACTAATTAAAAAAGATATATGCCCCCATATGTTTATGCAGCATTATTTACAATAGCCAAGATATGTAGGCAGTCCAAGTGTCCATCAATAGACAAATGGGTAAAGAAGATATGTATATATACATATATATGGAATATATACACACACATACGCACACAAGGGAATATTACTTGGCTGTAAAAAAGAATGAAACCCTGCCATTTGCAACAACATGAATGGCTCTAGAGGGTATCGTGCTAAGCGAAATTAGTCTGAGAAATACAAATACCATATGATTTCACTCATATGTGGAATTTAAGAAACAAAACAAATGAACAAAGGAAAAAAGATACAAAAAAACAGAGAGAGCAAATTGATGGTTACCAGAGGAGAGGTGGGTGAGGGAATGGGTGAAATAGGGGAAAGGGATCAAGAGGACACATACTGTGATGGGCACTGAGTCATGTTTAGAATTGTTGCATGGTTATAATGTACACTATTTTATAGTGTACATTATATGAATGAAATATAAAAATGAAATATAAATATAAAAATGAAATATAAAAATGAAACTTTTATACTGTATGTTAACTATACTGGAATTTTAAAAAAGATTTGATTTATTTATTTGTCAGAGAGAGAGCACAAGTAGGGGGAGCAGCAGGCAGAGGGAGAAGCAGGCTTCCTGTTGAGCAGGGAGCCCAGTGCAGGACCTGATCTTAGGACCCTGGGATCATGACCTGAACTGAAGGCAGATGTCTATCAACTAAGCCATCTAGGTGCCCCTGGAATTTTTTAAAAAGCCTCAAATCCAGAAAATTCCTAAAGAAAAACAAAAACTAACTAAATATTTACAACACTTGTGGGGAAAATCTTAAGTTTCCCAGAATGAATTATAGTTACATACAGTGTATATATATATATATGAGTGTGTGTGTGTGTGTGTATGTATACACAACTCTATACACAAATGATTTGAATATATCTATGTCAGTTAGATGTCCCAAAAAGCACTCAATTCTAATACATCCTTTGTCTTACCCTCTCTAAAATTTTAAAAGCCTGTCCAATGTGGAATCAATAAAATGACAAAATACCCACAAAACAAAACAACACACGGGACTGGAATTTGGTGATAAGCTTCCTTCCATCTCTCATGGTCCAGGACATTGAATGTGAGAATGGATCTTCAGGCTGCTGCCCACTCTTACTCTCCAAAGGGTAAGAATGGTGATTTCAAACTGACTTTGTCTCGGGATCTCCCTCTCTTTTTTTCTCTCTGTTCTGTTCATCCTTTCTTCTCCAGATCAGGGAAATCACTTATCTTTGTTTCATTAAGGTCTTTTTCTGAGGTTTTATCTTGTTCTTTCATTTGGAACACATCCCTCTGTTTCTCCGTGTTCCTTGACTCTCTGTGTTGTCATCTACCTCTCCCAGTCTTGGCGGGTGGCAGAGTGGCCTCAGGTGGGAGATTAACCTTATCAGTCAATCCTCCCCTATCTCTTGCTTGTCTCCCAAGCTCTGCTGATTGTCCAAGTCGCCTACTTTCTCTTTAGCGGCCCCGAATTGCTGAGGGTATGCCAAGATGTGTCAGCATCCCAAAGGGGAGGATCTCGGTCAGCATTGGATTCTGGCTGACTGGAAGTCTGACCCTCATGCAGCAGCTTTTAAACATGCACAAAGAGCAGTGCCTGGCTGGCACAGTTGGGCTTGGGTTGTGACCTCAGGGTCATGAGATCTAGCCTCATGTCGGGCTCTGCGCTCAGTGCAGAGTCTCCTTAAAATTCTCTCTCCCTCTGCCTCTGCCACTCATGCTTGCGCTCGAGCATGTGCTCTCATTCTCTCTCTCTCTCTCTCTCTCTCTCAAATAAATAAATAAATAAATCTTTTTAAAAAATCCAACGTGTACAAATATACCTTTTTCAGGAGAAGATGGATGTTTCTATCTGCTTCCTCTGCACTGAGACTTGGGGAGCTGGCCAGTTGAGAACTGTTTCTTTCTTCGCTACTTTCCTGTTGAGCCTGTGAACATAAGCACCACTGATCACGAGAGCAGGCTCTCAAGAGATGTGTCCTCAGGTGGCTTAGTCAGTTAATCGGCTGCCTTCAGCTCGGATCCTGGTCTCAGCAACCTGGGATCAAGCCCCGAGTTGGGATCCCTGCTTAGTGGGAAGTCTGATTCTCCCTCTCCCTTTGCCCCTCCCTCTGCTTGTGCTCTCTCTCTCTCTTTCTCTCTCAAATGAATAAATAAAATCTTAAAAGAGAGAGAGATGTGTCCTCTGGGCAGCAGATACAAAAATCAGGGTACCAGGCATGTACAAGAAGATCTCTTTTCTCAG